CTTTTTAAATAATAAATAATATGAAATAGGAAAATAAAAGGAATTATGATCCCTTCAGTGTTGATGAAATTAATATCATTCATTTCTGTCATTGAGATGGTAGAGAAGATTTGTAGCTTAGGTGGATGATTTTGATGGAGTTTTGTTTTCTGAACTGGATGATTTGGTCATGGAGCTTTCATCGTTCTTCTGAACGATATCATCAGTATAAATTTCATGGAAGCTCCACGACCAAACCATCCAGCTCAGAGAATGAAACTCCATCAAAATGTCTATCATTATATTGTATTTGTGAGATTATTTTAGCACAATAAGTTGATAATATTGTTAAATTTTGTAGCTATACATAGCTGAATTTGACTAGTGAGAATTTTTATGCTAAGGTTAACTAGTTGTCCAGTTATATATGGTATTAAATGGTTGTCTACTCACTGTACATCCATTCCTTCATAGAGGATTGAGTTCTGGCTATTGATACTTCACAGTAAATGTTTAATCTCAAGGTTATATTCTCAGTCCAGTGATGATGTCACAGGTATTCAGTGTTTGACAACGCTTCTACCAGTAACACCTAATGTATTTCGTTCCCACCCAGAGAAATCAAAAGACAGAGTCGAGGAGATCGGAAGAGTATATTTGGCGATGACCAATATATCGGAATTCTCTGATCTAATCTGGCTAGCGATTGCGGTTGGTGTTGAGCACGGCGTTACCACACGTGATCTGGTACGGATGCATGACCGAGCGCCTTCAGCTAGATGAGTCCACTAAAACATATGGTCAGCATCCAATGTCGAAAACTTAGGGCTATTTATTTTGGGGATTTATTTACCGCTACACCAGTTAAGCCATGATACTGAGTGATCATAACTGAATGTAACTGGTAATGAATGTTTCTTATGTGAGTATACTTTACCAAGGAGTTGTATATTACAATGATACAACTGTCCAGTGTGTCCTAGTTTTCACTGATTATTTTGTTAATGTCAGTCTGTGCTTTTAAAACTAATAAGTGTTGTCATTAAGCCGGCGATATACTTTAAATGACTGTTACAATGTAACTAACTTTATAGGTTATAAGCTGAATTTATATGTCTATTTGGACTAATGAAGAAATCTTTCGTTGGATATCCAACGTGATCATCAAGAAAAAAGATTCATGTAATGTGCTTAATCGATAGTTGGAAAAAATATGCACTTATTAGTGGGAATTTGAATTATCCCTGAATATCAACAATGGAACAATTCAGGCCCTTCCTAGTAATGATATAGACATTGTAGACACTAAACAAATTAGTAACTACTCAGATACAGTGACTCAATGTAGAATCCTTTAGCTTTTTAAGCGAAAGATATTGGATTCGTTTTCCAACATGGAAATCAGCGCTAGGATTTAGGTGTACCTATTTGATGAATCCAGAATAGGATGAAATACAATTTCGGAAGTCTATTACTAGTCATAATCCATTTATGAAAAAGAAATGCGTATCACTAAATAAATTAAATACACAGTAATATGGATAATATACTCATTATTTTTGTAGTGTATACTTGTCAAATTCACAAGAAATCAATCATGATGTTAGGATATGATTCATTGGGGACAAACTATAGGATCTTAGAATTAGCTAAATCACATATAGAATAAGTTCGTAGGAGCTAAATCGTTTATGTATACTATGAATGACTTTCTTGTTAATGGAAGACAGGAACTATTTCAATGCATTGAATCAAAGAAAAAGAGAGAAGATAGTGAAAAATGTGAACTGAATGACTTTTCATCAATAAACTAGTATACATATAGCATATCCTGAGACCATCGAGTAAGTAATGCAGTTGTTAGGAAACGGGTACTAGGTAAGGATAGCAAATCAATTGATGACGTAGTGAAACTTCAGCAGTTGAGATGGCTGGGACAAGTGTTACGTATGCCCAACGACCGACTGCCTCGACATACGATATTTGATGGTGTAGGAGTAGGTTGGAAGAAAGCTAGGGGTGGCTAGACCAAAACGTGGCAAAAATCCATGAAGTCACTGACATGTGGACTGAACCATGTTGGTAAGTGTAGACTACCTGGTTGCGGACCGCGAGATGATAGCAACCGTTGGTTAGAGACTTTGAATGACATGGCTCAAAATCGTTTGCAATGGTGTGAGCAGGTGCATCCACTCTTTGTGTTCTCCCAAATTCTAATCTTCGGAATTCTTCATGTCCTTTATTTTCTTTCCAAATTTATTTCACTGTATTATACTCCTTGAATAACATGTACAAAGCCTAATGTTTCGGATTACTGCTTATGCTTTTCCTACCTCTACCACTATGGGATAGGAACCGACAATTGTATATCTGTACTAATATGGTATGGCAAATCGAACTGATGTACGTACGTGCAAATTTCTACGTTGTTACTGACTAACTAAATATGATGCTCATTTCATCATACTTTTGTCTATACTCCATTTGTAAACTCTTGAATTATTAGTTGTTTGTTTCTTTTAAAAACTATTCATAAATTACAGTCAGTGAATCACTAATCTGCTATGTACCTTTATATACCTCATTTGCATATCTATTTGTTTTCTTACTGTTAAATTTATGTGAGCTGTGATTCTGAACAATACAACTGTTCGTGAGCACTTATCCAGAAAATTTTTAGTGACCCTGGAATATCTGACTCCGATTTGATCGTGTGATTATCGTTACCGACTTATATATGTCACCAGTCCTCGCATATAATTATCGGCTTAACTCACGTTAGTGAATAACGGAATTAAATAAATCAAGTACGAGAATGAAGTTTGGAATGCGTCTATTTCGTACACTTATTGACCTGGACAGACAATCAGGGGAAGGAAGCAAAGGAAGCGAAGAGAAGAGAGCGAAGCAAAATGACGCTCGATGAAGAAGGTATGTAAGTCAACTCACAGCATCACTGACTTAATAGACGAGCAATTAAAAAGACTCAATCTCTAATCTGACGCATTCAGCAAAGCTAGTACAGCAGCAACATGGACATACTCAAATCTTATTATTTTATCGATACTTCGTTCTCGTGTCTATTCTGCTAATTGATCTATTTGACGGATCATTCCACTATGGTTATAACAGTCAGTCACTTCCACGGCCCTTCGTTTTGGCACCAATTAGGTCTGACGACGATGTTGTCGACGAGGTTATAGAAAGGTTCGCCAGTTTAGTTGTGCCGTAATCTCTCTCCGATTTGATCGTATGGTCGAAAACTGCGTTTATTTGGCTTGACTCTCTTTGCTTTCTTCACATCGTTTCTCCAATAGCTTGTCAGAATCAACGATTGAATGAAATACACGTATTCGAAATTGGTTCTTGTACTTGACTTATTTAATTCCGTTATTCACTAACGCAATCTAAGTCATCGATTATATACGAGGACTGGAGATATATATAAGTCAACAGCGATAATCACATGATCAAATCGGAGTCAGATATTCTCGGGCCACTAAAGATTTAGGAGTGTGGCAATTTTTATGACTTAATGATTTTGTAGTGAATACAATACAGTCGGCGTTCAAATCTTACCTCCAACCAATACAAAGTTGGTGGACTTATTTCAATGTGAAGTAGTCATGGATGAAACACGATATAATTAAAGGAATTCAAGAAACTGATTAAAGCTATTATTTTCACCTTATTACTGAAAATAATGGAATTTTAAACCATCAAATCATTTGCATTCGTATCATTTGCCTATTTTACTTCAAATGATCAAGTAGTATCATTGAACATGGTCATATAACAGTAGTACATAAGATTCCCTTACCACAAACAAGTAAGGTTTTCAGTATGGATGTTAAACGACTCTCTATGTTTGATCATCGTTGTCTCCGAAAGATTACTGACATCCAGTGTCAACACCATGTTAGTAATGCAGAGGTTCCACATCGACGACAATTCAATTGGTGTCACCATCTTGAAACGCCGAATTCGGTGGCTCGGACAAGTTCTACAAGTATCGTCCCAGAAAATTCCTCGTCGTGCATTATTTGCCGACACTGAGACTGGTTGGAAAAAGCGGAGAGGTGATCAATGTATGACATGGTGTCATGATATGAAAGGATGCTGCACAGGACTGGCTTCTGTTGGTCCTTCACGACTCCCTGGTTGGGGTCCTAGAGATGGTGTAACACGGTGGCTAGAGACGTTATCAGATATGGCTCAGAATAGGAGCCAGTGGCGATCCTTCTGTAACCCTCTTTTACTTTCTTTATAAAAAGTGACCGTACCTTCTTTAACCGAAAGAATTCTTTCTGGTTGTAACTTCCTGTTTCCCCCAGTACTATTATTATTACTTCATTACCATACACTAATTTGTGGTCATTATTATTCTTTCTTTCTTTTTACACTCAACTAACATTCTTTATCTCTTCCCATTCTCATTATTATTGTGCAGGTGTATACACTCTCTGTCTTACCTTACGCTATAAGATTAAAATTGCTTCATATCATTCTTTCTACGTACTAATTCTTTCTTCCTGTACTATATACTTATATGCAATCTTTCCTTTATATATTACCACCATTGACTTAACTACTATGAATTCGGTGTTCATCTTGCTATGCTAATGCGGTATGGCGACTTGGACTGGTACATATATATGCCTAATCCTACGTTGTAGCTGACTGACTGATTGACCAACAATTATTATGTGGCGCATATATATATCTGGTGCCCCCTTGTACCAAATAAATAAATAAAATTTTCAGTATGAAAGTTATGGAGATAACTGAATTTTATTTAGATCAATAACCGATCTATTCTAAACAATCATTGATCAATATTATATGTTGGATACTTATTTTACAGGTATTTATACATATGTCATTATAGAAATAAATACTACTTTTTAAAATATAGTAAATTATACCATGATCAAAAATAAACTAATAATATGTTCAATTAATAAGATTATTATCTGCTATCTTTCATTGTTATTCTCTTCGTTCCTTTTCTTTTTTCTTAGTGAACCCAGTGTATTAATAACTCCTTTTGCTCAAATTTTAACTATTCTAAATCGTGCAAGAGATTTCTTATCTAATTATACTTTAAAGTGAGTTATTGTTGTTAATTATTTTTATTATTATTATCCAAAAAATGAACTGTTTATAGGATTTTGTTTTAAGATGAATTTCATTGATTGAAATCATGAGTCAATTGGAGCTAGACAACCATGGAAAACCTGGGAACACTGTACGGCCGTTTCATCCTACTATGGAACTCCACGGCAGTGCGAATCCACGACATTCATGATATTCGAACCCAGGACCTATCAGTCTTGCGTGCGAGCGTTTAACCACTAGACCAGTGAGCCAACATTCAACGATGTTACTGTCAGACTTCAATCAATCCAGGCGGGATCGTAGATGATCATTGGTGTAAAGTCCCACAACAGAATGAAACGGTCGTCCACCGCTTCCGGGTTTTCCATGGTGGTCTAGCTTCAATTGACTCATGAATTCAACCATTAAATTGCTATAGTATCCACAAAACCTCTTCTGATACTCATCAACATATGCTCATTAGTGACTGGCTTCAATAGGTATATCCTGGAGTTCTAGTGAGAAGTAGTGACCAGTGGAGTTCGGTCGGGTCTGTTGTGAGATAGTAACTGACTGAAGACAATGGTAAATATGTCGCTCATTTTCGTGGATTGGTTGAAGTTAGACATAAACACCGTTGAATGCCGGCCAGCTCAGTGGTCTAGAGGCCAAGCGATCGTGCGCGAGACTGACAGGTTCTGTGTTCGAATCCCGCGAGGCGGGATCGTGGGTGCGCACTGCTGAGGAGTCCCATACTAGAACGAAACGGCTGTCTAGTGCTTCCAGGTTTTCCATTGTGATCTAGCTTCAATTGACTCATGATTTCAATCAGCGAAATTTCTAAAAACTCCACAAAACCCCTTCTAATATTAAGATGAATTGATCAATTGGTTATAACTGAAATAAGATTTGATAAAAATATTTATCATTTCAAATTGATCTACATGATATTAACAGTATTAGATTGTGGAAATTGTTAAGTTTTTAATTGAGATCATAAACTGATTGATATTAGACCACTATCATACTAGGACGAAATAGCTGTTCATTGTTTTCAGGCTTTTAATGATGAGCTAATATCGATCAATTTATGATCTCAATCAAGTATATTATATTAACATAATGAAAGAGGAAATTACCTAAGATAAGAAAAAAACCAAATAAATGGAAACTTAATATCACTAACAGTACAGCAAGATTGAACAAGAGAAAAGAAAGCACAGTTGAAAAATACAATGGATAATTAGAGTTGACATACAAACTAAGTTTAAATAGATGATAGACAATGATGATAAAGATTTGTAGCTTAAGAGAATCATTTTTTGAAATTGAGTTGTTTGAGTAATATGATTTAACGGCGAAATTGTCACTGGACAATATGTTTATCATCAGGACTATGTACTTCAGACAGGAATTATAGGAATTTCTTCACATATAACTAATAGTTTGTCTTGTCGACTTTAAAGTCTACAGACTGTTCTTCGTGTACGTCCTACATGTACGTCTACATATTTTGGTTTGCTGTCTTTAGAGTTATTCTAACTTACTCCTTTTCCAGCTGTCATTGGATTCCGGGGTAGGTGGTAGTTAGGCTCATTGGGGATATCTAGCGTTACCACTTCAACAGATAACTATTTAGAAGTTCGTTTATGAACGACCTCTTTTTTTATCTAATGCTTGACGATTGGCAGAACATATGACCATGTCAAACTACTATGCCGAAATTCTGTACTTCATATTACCCTTTTTTAGTCAATTCAGGAAATAGTACAATTAACAGCAGTGTGATTCAGGCTTAACTATCATGATTTTGACTCGATTTTCTCCTATGATCTCACAAAGTGACAGAACTTGAAATGTGAATCATTAGTGATATGATTGAGGAATCTTAGTACGACAATCAAAACGGATTTAAGTTGACAATATACTATGAACTTGTGCTGACCAACATGTAGCAGGATGAATAAAAATTTAAAGTAGAAAATTTCTGCCTTATTGACCTGAATTATTGATTCCTACTTCAAATGCTTCTTGCCAATTTGATTTAAATCCAAAGTTTCACTGGTGGAACAGTTAAGTGATTATAAGAGTACGTTACTGACTGATCCTAGCTATTCAATTCCATTTGTTAATCATCCACTTTCCAATTGATATCAGTTTATGTTGATGATTAGCTCCAAATTTATGTAATAGCTATCAACACATCCCAGATGATTTCTTATATTATGAAATCAATAATAGTTTCAAAACCAAACCTCCTTTATTCTGCTTCTTTATTTCAGCTCTCCCTCTTATTCTCCACATGATCCTAATATGTTTAACACGAAGTCATTTGGTTGTGATGAAAAATATGTTAGTAAGTTACATGTTTAGGTATTTCTGTTTTTTTATTTATTTGAAAGAAAAGAACAAAGATGCCTTGAATTTCCAGAAAAGATGATTTAGCCTTCATTTAATAAAATATTAATGGCTCTCCGCATGATTTCAGTGTTCTGGCTTCCATCACTAATGAGGTCGTGTATAGGTAGTGATTAGGAGTCTTTCACGAAAACGAAACAATTATCCAGTGATTTCTAGTTTCTCAATGGTTGTTTAACTAAGGTCAATCTGTGATGCGAACCTACAAAATTCAATAGATCTCTACAATCCTATGTATTAGGGGATATTAGCTAGATTCCGTAAATGTTAACACAATGTAGTGTCCAGCCTGTCAAAATAAATCTTGTACAGTATTCGTCGGACTACAGAAGCGATAGCCAAGCGAAATAACTTCATACAATTTTTCTTAGCTTTGTTGACCTTAAGTTTAATAAACTAAGGTGATGGAGCATATTTTTAACTCAAGATGAGGATGTTGGAGGTGTCGTGGTCTGCAAGCTGAAGGGTTTGGTTGTGAAGTTCCCACTGTTCTTCTGAACGACATCATCATCAGCATGTACTTCAAAAATAAGTGAGAAACTACAATTTCATCACAATTGACTAATATCTTATTCTGTTGACTGTTGATTGTCACACATAATTGTGTGGTCGTTGTTTATAAATTTACTTTATGTTTCTCTTCTGATCTTGATAAGAAAAATAAACAAACTAAGGCTATGGAAAATAATACTAGCGGTGTGTTTCAGCCGGATCGGTTGGTAAAGCCTTTTCTGGTGAAGGTCATATAGACCCTTCTGGAGTGGGTTCCGTATTTTCAAGGCTCACAAACCCACCATGTGGATGGGATTTTGTGCGGGTCAAGGCCTCGCAGGGCTTTACGTATATCTTGGTATCGTAATAAAAGCCAGTAAAGAATTTTTTGTTATTACTTACCCTGGATAGGTTTAGTCTACATGCATAATAGGTAACAGACAGACTTTCATCAGAGTATTCCTTGGTATATATACAGGTATACCTACTCTGTGAGTAAATATATGTTATATGCACACCGGTAACACATAGGTTTTATCCGATGCATCCCATAGCATAGTATATTCACTCACCTGGGAGGGTAGATGTTCACCACTTCCTTTGGAAACATATTTGCCACACTAGACTGTTTATTACACATTACATGCATATCATTCAGCACATAGCTTCCGCCACAGTACTTCCTGACACATATAAGCAAGAGCATTCTCTCAGGTGAGGTTGTTGGTCACCTCACCCTAGTGTTTGCTACCGTATCTTCTCATTATGTCTCTGATCTGATAGACTGGGCAACTGATTTTATTAGACATATGGCAGACAATATTTCAGCTAACGTTTCCTTTGTACGACACCACACGTACACCATTTGCATATACTTACATACATGGATTACAAATGCCCGAGGACTTCTGCAGTTCTTATACCTAAGCATATACACCAGGTGACTCGGTGTGGTTAAGTGAGCCTCGAGTTAGAACCTGAGTTGATGAAGATACAACAGAGTGGGTGATCAGTCCGGCTGTACCTACTGTCCGGAAGCGCCTTGAGGAGGCCTAGGGTCGGGTTTCACTGCCAAAGATAATAATAATAAGTAAAGTTGTTTGTCAAACCTAATTCAGACAACAAAGAGATAAGAGCTTTAGAAATTTCTCAGGAATACAGGGACTTGTTGTAAGAGCTTAAATTCCCATAGCTTTCACTATATGTACAAGGTAATAGAGAACCGCGTGGGCAAAATGATTTGTTTCCATCTACTACATGGCGTGTATCGGGCCATGTGTGACAGAACGAAACTATGTATTGTTTTGGTCATCCCATTTCTCAGTCACGAAGTGAAATGTTCAGTAACTCGTTGGGTGAGTTGACTGATTCTACGTCAGATATAGCTTTCTCGACAGGGGAAACTGGACTTCTAGATACATGTAGATATATACCTGTTATCGCACTATCAATCTGTACTTTTTACCTATGATGCTTGTTTGATCATGCAATCTATTTCGTTTTGGTCGTTAATTCATAAACTCCCTTGATTGGTTTGTTAATTTTCTTATATGCATATAAATATTAATGAATATTAGAGTCAAGGTTAATAAAAGTCTAGTTGGTAACAATGCTGTTCAGTGGTATATGTTATTCTAATTTTCACGATGGAGATCCTTAATAAAACATATCAAGGTCAACGATAAAGAATAACTAGTTTAGTGTGTTTGCGTGAGAAAGTGAACTATGTTAATTCATTTCAATCTATAGGCTGTATTCAACACAGATTGATCTCAACTGATATACCACTGAATATTTGGCTTCGTCACAGGATCGGGCTCTTTATTAGTATACAGCCACAACCATGGTAAGGATTGAACACAGGATTTTAACCACCAAAACTACTATTTCAACTTTCATTAATTCGTAATATAGTACGACAATTATCCAATACAGTTTATGGAGACTCAATACTGATATAACTGAAGTCTAACAGTCATGAATTCTTTCTCTAGAACTTAAGGAACCTATTGAGCTCATGTTGTGGTCTTCGTTAATTTTGGATAATGATTATTAAGAAGGGTTAAGAAATGATCTTTTTGCATGTGTTCAGTAATAACTTTGTCAATATGAAACAATTTAATTGAAAAGATTTTGTGGAGATCGGTTTACTTTGCAAATTATATTCATCACAAATTTATTTCTCATGAAGTTTCTGCAAAAACTATCATTTATCCCGTGAACTCAATGTCCTAGTTTGTACTACTGACATGGTCATATGTGTGCACTAGTGAAGAATCTTATATTATTGAAGAAACAACTATTAAATGCTTCTTGATTTCTTAAGGTACCTTGAATGAGATCAGTTTGTGATGAATACTACCTACAAATAAGTAATTTACTCGATAAGTCATCCGCTTGATAACTCATTTACTCCACTTACCCACACATGCATATGCACAAGCACACACACACACATACACATAACAAAAACTTGGATCCATTAAAAGTCTATTCATTGTGATAATTTTTATTTTATTGTTAAATAAAATTAGATTGTCTACATCAATTTGATGTACATTATGTGAATCAATTATTAAATGAATTTGATTGGTGTTTGGAAGTATTGGATAGTTTACAATGTAAACGTTCTGTAAGCAGTTTAACACGGATGAAAGTAAGTTATTCATATGTATATATTATCTGATAATGATGTAAGAGAATTTTTGTACTTTCAACTTATTTAGAATGTCAATAGTTGAGATCACGAGTCAATTAAAGCTAGACAACCATGAAAAACCTGAAAACATAGGACAGTCATTTAGTCCGATTGTGAGACTCCTCAGTAGTGTGCATCCACGATCCCGCCCCTCCCTGCGCGAGTTTCGATCCCAGGACCTATCAGTCTCGCGCACGAGCGCTTGACCATTAGACCACTGAGGTGGCCGGCATCCAACGGTGTTAATGTCTAACTTCGTGAATGTGCACTGCTGAAGAGTCTCACAACAGGACGAGACGGCCGTTCAGTGCTTCCAGGTTTTCTATGGTGGTCTAGCTTCAATTGACTCAAGATTTCAGCTATTTAAATGATTACAATCTCCACAAAACCCCTTCTTATTTAGAATTTACTGATGATTATAAATTCTACATTAGAGAATGGTTATAACACACAAGAATGAATAACTAATTTGAGATTTCCATAGTTCTAAACTACTTACAACTTTTCCAGGGACCAAATTCAAGATAATCAAGTTTCTTGATGATCTATTGAATATCCTTGGTTTAAATATTAAGCCATTTTTGTCGGTTAAGGAAAAACTTTCATGAACGGTTTAAGATTAAAATAAATAAGGTGAAGCTGGCAATCAATAACTATCAAATTTCGATCAGATTATCTACAAATTTCATGTTACATACATAAATTCAATGTCTGGATTTGACAATTTATTTTATTTTTAAGGGGCTCTAACTAATCATCGGCAGTGAGAAGACGGAGTTGATCTGAAAAATGTAATGTATTTGCGCTATACATACGCTATACAATCTGGTCTATAATTGGTTCATGATAACATTCTATTTGCTGAAGATTCCCATCGTATTAAAATACAGATATATGGATGAAATATATTCTTTTCAAATAAATATATCCGAATTATCATTTTCTAAAATTCTCATATTGTGAATTAGAACAACATAGATAAAACAGAACAATATTGTTTTCGATTGGATCCTCATCAGGCTTTGCTCTAATATACAGTAATATTTATATGTGTATACAAAATTATTAAACCAATCAAAGCAGTATATGATTTAGTGAACAGAAGGTCTCCCATGAGACTAGAGGTTCGCCATCGGTATTGTGGATGGTTCAGCATTACTTCGGCAAGTTTTGCTGACTGTTCATGAACAAAATTGGTTTGCTGGTTAACCGATTTCATTCATACTGGTGGTTGCTTTTCAGTGTTCTCAAGATCATTGCCATTGGGACATTAAAAGGCATGTCGCCATGGCTAACATTAATGAGTTTGAATGTCGTGTAAACGGAATAGGTCAAGTTTAGCCTGTTCGTGCTGTGTATACTTGATTCACACGATCATTGATCGGAATAACTATGCATGTGACGTGAATATGTATATGAATGGTGAGAATGGTCCACCAGGGTGCTTGATACCAATGTGGTTGCGCCACAGGATTGAGCTGTACTATTCAGATTGTAGCGATAAAGCTTATACGGTGTCTGGTTCTTCTATGAAGCGGGATTGAGCTGTACTGTTTGGGTTGTCACGTGAAAGTTTGGATGGTGTCTGGTTCTCCTGAAAACCAATGTAAAATTACCCTGGCCAACAAAGGTATATTATATAACAAATTGATAGTGTGATGAAAGGTGTACTAGTTGTGATAAGAGTAATAAAAGCTTAAATCGATGATAGGGAAAAAATATAGACACTGACATAGCATTCATAAGAATTATAGGATTACGTAATAAGAATTATTCGGATAATTAGACCGTGAAGCGTATATTTGAGAAAAGAAAAGGGTGGGAGGGGGTGAATAAAAATAAAGGAAGAAAGAGTATGAAAAATAATAATAAATAAAATTATTTATTAAGACCAAGAGAGAGAGAGAGACAAGAGTGTTACAAATTTCTTGTGAATATAAAGACTTACCATTTAATTCTGTTGTGGGATTTTACACCAGCGCTCATCTACGATCCCGCCTGGACTGATTGAAGTCAGACAGTGACACCGTTGGATGTCGGCTCAGTGGTCTAGTGGTTAAACGCTCGCGCGCGAGACTGATAGGTCCTGCGTTCGAATGTGGCGAGGCGAGATCGTGGATACAAACTGCCGTCTAGTGCTTCCGAGTTTTCCATGGTGGTCTAGCTTCAATTGACTCATGAATTAAACTACTAAATTACTATAATATCCGCAAAAACCCTTTTCTGATAATAAAATATTTCATGAGTTTCCCTTACATAAATGAATGAGTGAACGAAAAATACTCACTTTAAAAATCGGCTCAACATATCACTGAAGTAATTTTGAGGATGATTCATTCTGCTAAGGAAATATTAATCGATTTATGATAAGCTTGATTAAAATCTTTTGAAGAAACTTTGTTTAATATTTGGAAACTGGAATAATGATAATGATCACAGGGATTAGCACAACATATTACCTCATTGACCAATGTTTCTGAAGTTTATTATTACTCATCTCTTAAATGCTTATTGTTTAATATCATGGGTGATTACAGTCTCACGTTCTGCAAACGCTATTCGTCTTGACATTTTGTCAACACCAATAACAACATCGTCATAATATTCCCCACATAGACACAGTTCTCGATAAATTCAATTAGTATTGTTTACTTGGATCTTCCCATTGACGTATAGGACTGCAGTACCATGTGAATTTAAACTTCACTCGTTTGCACAAGCAAGTGGCTATCGGGGCTCGGTAGCTAAGTAGATATTCGGATGGCGTTTGAGACAAACGGTACTGGGTTCGAGTCCCAGAGTGAACATCAACTATGAAATGCAGGTAAATCCAGCCAACGAGTCCTAAATAGGGCGAAACGTGCGTCTTGGATTCCACTGCCAGCCACTATTCATCTTTGCTTATACTGTTCTTGGTAGTTTTCAAAATTTTTTACAATAGTTTGAATTGTAGAATGCATTCGCCGAAAATGGATCTAAGTTGATACATCATTTAAAACCGGAGAGCACTGAATAACTGCTTTGTCCCAGTATGGGAGGAGTCAGTATAATGCATCAGCGGCCATACCATGATTTTTAAGTTAACCGCAAAGGCTCATAGTTTTCTTTAAAACTTTGAAAGTAGTCACTAATTGTTCTTAGTTTACTTGAAATGTCTCATTCTTCTTCGTAAATTCAAGGATGATTTTATATCACTAGTAACTGAAATTTTGCGAATAACACTATCTATAAATTAAATCAATCTCTGTAATTCCTCTTCAAACAAACTGTAATATTCAGGTTACTAGTGAGTTACTTCAAGGTGCTTTAGATATTAAATGATAAGTCTTGACTGGTGAAATTCAGAAATGTCAGGATTCAAAAAGTTGTCAGAAATCGGATTAGATGATCGTCACACCATATCGTATATTGATTGGAGTTGAAACTGTACCATTTGAACACAGCATAGTAGCTCTGATGGTTGAACATTTTCAACGAAAAATGAAGGTGCTTGACCCCAGCTCTAGTAAAGTCATGCGTGTACTACTATGGAGTAACATACTAGGACAAAATAATTATCCAATCCTTCCTGGTTTTTAATCTTACACTAACTGATATCAATCTGTAATAAATACAACCTGTAAATTGAATCGCCCTCTACAAAATACTCTTAGAAATACTTTTCTAATTACAGAAAACTAATTGAGTAAACAAACATATTTTGAATATACATGTGAATAAATTTCTTTAAAATCAATAATATTTTCACTAAAAACCAATCAATAATTATGTTTTTGATTGAGATCATGAAGCGATTGATGTTAGACCACTATTGAAAACCTAGGAGCACCTTAAGGCTGTTTCGACCTATGGTGAGACTCTTCACCAGTGCGTGTCCACGACCCTGTACGCGGAATTCGAACCCAAGGCTTTCAGTCTCGCGCGCGAACGCCTAACCTTCAGACCACTGTGCCAGTCAGCATCCAATGGAGTTAATGTCTAGCCTAAAACAATCCACGAAATTGCGCGACTATCTTCCATTTTACTGAAGTAGATACCTGTCTCTACCCGACACGGATTATGTATCAACCCATTTAAAAATGATTGTATATTAAATTTGGTTTTTGTACATTTTTTCTATTATTGATTTAGTTACGTAGTCTTCTTAGTCAAGAGTTGGCCGCTTCATTTAATGAATCAAATGATAAAACTGTTAAGAAAGATTCAATCAAAAAATCAACCACAACATCTTACAATGTTCGTTTTGATGATTCAACTTTAAAAAGCTCCTCTCTACTATTACATGATCAAGATAATAATAATAAGTCAAATATTAGTCAAATGCAAAAGCGTAAACAACAATTTAGAAGTTGTAGATCACAAGTTTGTGAATACATTTGTAAAACATTTCTTGAAGAAGAAGAAGATGATGATGATGATGTTGACAATAATCATGAAGATAACGATGATGATGATAGTAATAATAATGATGAGAACAACTCCAAAAATACATCATCATATAATCTATCAACAGAAAAAACTATTCATTTGAATAGTCCAAAATCAAAACTTCGATTCAATGATAAATATGAAAAAACAATGGATGAATCCAATGAAACAAATGAATCTACAACTGATCAAATTTCTGAACTAAGATCTATCTCATCTACACAATTCAATGATACAGATGTAATATCTACTACATTAAAGTTAATTACACTAAATATTGAATATTTTGATAATTCAATAGTGGAAAATGTAAGTTCAAAAAACTCTTTTTAAATTACATGTTAAAACTCATAACTATATCCTCACTAAATAAGATCCCAAAAGGATAGAATTCACTTATGAGAAGAGAAATTTACATCAATTCAACTAATAATCTTCACTTTAATCATTAAAATAAATGGTAACCAATACTGATTATATATCCAAACGGCTATTGATCCACCCAAGTGCCCCTGGTACGGCCGAGAATGGTGACAGTCCACTCCCTCCCTCGAAATGCCCTCACATGGCCACGTGTATATAGCCTCTACTAGGAAAGTCCTAATCACTGCCTTCTCGTGGCATGGGTGTTGTTTACGGAATTGACAGGACGAAAAGCGAACGTCCTGCGAATTAACCAGGTTGATGGACACGGAGAGTCCACCCAGGGGAGTTGGAAAACTCTGATTCTAAACCAATAGTGTACATGGGGTCCAGCATCCTGAGGGAACAAATGGTGTATAGACCAATTGTTTGTTACCGGCTACCATGGGACTGCATCTCCTGACGTTGCTCCACTGCCTTGTGGATCAGACCTTTAGGTCGAAGGCTCCAGGTGTGGCTTCCTAAGAAAACCACCTGTTTCAGTTTGGGCTTCCGGGAAGTATCACAGCCCTCACACATATCAAATGGTATTTGTGTGGCACATATTTATCTGGTCCCATCTTGTACCAGTATTTATGTGTTTAAATAATAAGCAAATATTAATAACCTTTTCAATGACCAAATAGGATACAGTGGCAACAAATTGAATAACATTCTCTTATTGCATTGTTCTAGAACCCAAAAACTAATTAAATTACATACCTTAATTATATCATCTTAAAGTAGCAGAAATAAGAAATGACAATTTATATATAACTCAGTAATGTGTGATACACAACTGAGTAATAAGAATATAATTAATGATGGTTTTTATATAGTAAATTATATTTAAACAGTTCATACGTTAAATGAAAGCTTAAAATTGAGAGAATGTATAAATAACATAAATCAAATAATTTTGATTGAGATCATGAACCGATTAATGTTAGACACCCATTGAAAATCTGGAAGCACTAGACGGCCGTTTCGTCCTATTCTGGTACTCCTCAGCAATGAACATCCACGATCCCGCTGGCAGGATTTATATGAGAATTTTTCTGTCTTGCTTAAATCAGTTATTTTTATAAATGACTAATGGATCATTTCAATTAAAATAAGATCTTCAGTGAGAATTCGATATGAATTCGAATCTTATTTAATGATCTGAATAGATTTCTTGAAAATATGATAAGAATCAAATTTACTATATATTAAAAATTCCTCATTTTCTCGCTGTCGAGTTCCAGTATAATGAACCAGAATACCGGCAGAGACAACTGAATGTATTTCAATATACTATTACAGAATATCTTATTAAAATCTGAGAACCGTGCAGTAAATACTTTATTTGCAAAATGTCAATCAATTGTCTCAGACTAGATTGTTCCTTCGTTTCCACATCAATAATTCTCTATTCTCGTTCTTTCTCCTTCGATCTTCTTAACGTTCTGCCGTCAGATATGCCACTTTCGACTGGTGACATATATTACTTATATCTGTCGATATCAGTAGCATACACCATACACCATAACCGATTAATCATAGTTTGATTTTTTTTAGTAAACTGTCTTGACATTGACTTTTCATCATAAGTCTTAGTATACCTGTCATACGTTTGGTGAAATTAAGTCGTGATCAGTAAGTGAGTGAAAACAGACTTATCCTCTTGAACTTAATATACATAAGTTATCTTGTGTGTTCCTTTACTAACCTCTTTGTACAGATATCAACAAATTAGTATTCTAAAATATGTCTAGTTCTTGATGGTTGATAAAACAACTGAGTCGAGTTTGTTATGGGATCTAGCTCCTAGTCTAATGATCTATTAATTTGGTATCATGCGCCGAACGTAGAATTAAAGAAAATTTAATATTTTCGTTATGAAAGTTTAGATCATTGCTATCAGTGGAATTCAAGATGTCGGTTTTGTCATAATGTGTGTACATCAATACGGGAACACACGTGCAGTCGTTTGATAAGTCATAAATAGGATGAAGTATACGTCGTAGAGTTTATGATGAGTTGTAGTCCAAATATGCATTTTTTTTCATTAAAAAAAAAGAAAAAAAGATTTTTGTTTTATTTCTATCACACAGAAACTTTTCACAGAATTTTTTCTTTATTTTTTTTTTTTTATTATGAAGTTTATCATAAATAATCAATCAAATTTAGCTCCAGATCTATTTCAATTAGATCAAATTTCTAATCATCATCCTTTAAGTACACTTGGCTTTTATTTATTTATGGTAAGTATTTATAATAAGTTTATAAACATTATTGAACTGAGATTAATCATAATATTTTCGGTGAGACTCTAATTTATGGACGAGCCAATCGGAAGCATTTTAGAGATTTCAAGGTTACGGCGCCAACTTCAGTGCTTAATGCTAACGTACGTTCGGTTCATAGGGAATTTTGTACAAAACATGATAATTGAGCGGCTATAACAAATAAAACGGCGGGACTATAATTTGTGGACGAATCAATCAGGTATAAGATAATAGATCGCGAATTTTAACGCGAAAACCTTTCATCCATTTGGCTAAATAAATTTCTGACATTATAGCTGATGTCAGTTCGTGTTGAAAACTCCATATATAATTCCTAACTAAGGCAAACTACGACAATTATTGCGAACTGGATAATAACAGCACCAGTAACACTGGCTGCAGACAGGTACTACAATATATACGAATAATTGCAGAGCGTACAGACTCATACAGAGGTTTGGCTATGTTCATCGTGTCGTTATCCACAAGTAGCATTTTGTGCATTCAACAACCGGAGTGCACATAAGCAATATTGAAGCTATGTGGTCGAGGCTGAAAGAGTTTTTGAGACTTTATCATGACTCCAGAGGCCGACTATTCTGTAGCCGTATGGATGATTTCCTCTGCTGCATGCATTACGATTTTAGAACCTCTGAACCTCTTTCTAACTTTGACAAGTTTTTGAACCACATATAATAAGTGTATCCATTTTATTTCCTTGGTTTTGTATAACATAATTTTACTCTATACTGACTGTTTGCTGATTGGCTAATATTTCTCAGGTTTACTTAATATTTGTTCAAAGGTCGTCGATAAACTAGAGTCTCTCCATATTTTCTAATGTATATTAAACATGTTTTGTATTACATAATATTTTCAGTCCATTTATTGTTGATTTAGTGAATTAGTGCCATGTATTAAGGTGTAATTTTCATTAAGAATTTCATTTTTGAACCCTGTTCTATTTGTATTTCTTTTATCCGGCATATCTGGTTAAGTTACACTGGACAAATTTCTACTAAGGTGTTGAGGATAACTTCAGAAGCTTTGATCATAATTCCACCGTAATATACAGATTTATTTATTCATTTATTTGAACACATAGATATTGTTACAACGGGTTACCAAATACATATACGCCACACAAATCTCATTTGATTTGTGTGAGGACTGTGATACTGCCCGGATGCAGGACTTTAATATACAATACTCACTCAGTAAATGAATCGAAAACTGACCTTAATTGCTGGGTGACATACATTAAATAAAATTGACAACATTGAGAATAACCTCAGTCAAAATATTGTTCATAACTTTAAATCTTAGATAAACTTTCATAATAAATATTATTTTATGATGACTAGATGTAATGAAGTTGATAGTAGGTCGTCAGAATGTTTATTTTTTTTTTTAATGTTGTGAATGAATTTTGGTTCTAATGAATAAGTAAAATAATAGGAACTTTTGGGTGAGACTATGGTTTATGGACGACCTTTGAACAACACTAAACTGATCTTTGTGTTACTACTAATCAAGTTAATTTATTCCCAGTAAATGCTGAAAAGTATGCCATTAGTTTATCTTCCATTATATTATTTGCTAATGAAATGGAAACACTTTCTCTTGGTTTTAATTTCTCGGTCCCTATAACGCGAATGTCTGAATTGGAAATAAATGCCCAGCTTGAAAATCTATATGATCAACTGAGTACTCTAACCCCTACGACTTCAAATAATCAAAGCTAGTGTAAAGCTAAACTAGTGGATAGAGCACATCAATTTCATAATGTTGGACCGAAGCAGAGAAGCATATTAACTTCTCAGCATTTTAAATCAATAAAAGAATTACGAACAAACTCTGATATTGTCTTGTTAAAACCTGATAAAGAATCAGGCGTCGTTATCATGAATAAATGTGAATATAAAAGTAAGATGTTATCCATTCTTAGTGATGATAGTAAATTTATGCCTGATGTTGAATTTGGAGGTATTAGCAAACTAGAAGGAAGAGTAAATTCAAACCTAGAAAAATTGTTACGCATGAATATTATTAATAAAGAGTAATTTAATTTCCTAAAACCTATGGGTTCCGAGTACCCTCATTTATATGGACTACCTAAAATTCACAAACCTAATGTTCCTTTACGTTCAATTCTATCAATGTGCAGATCACCTACACATAATCTGACTAAATGGCTAACAAAATTGTTGGACCCTATTCGAAAACATCTATTTGACCTTTTCTTTTTTTTTATTTATATATAAATGCTCTTAACAAGTATGTAATGTGTGATCAGATTGTTCGAAATGTATTGAGCTATTACATCACATAGTTCTGATAATCTTTGTCTTCTTATTACATTATCAAAATTTATCAAATGGGACTAATTGTTTTAAAGTTAATATTATCATTATATAAACAGAATTATTTTGTCAAATGTTCGACTTATATTAAGAATAAGACAATTCCCTATCAAGAACCATATTCTCTTCTCTTATTACAATATTCAAGTTGAAATGTTATCTTTGAGTGAAAGAACTAAATTGTAAATGAAAATCAAATAGGGCAATACGTTCTAGACTAAATTGACTTAGAAATATGAGATATCAATAGCATAGAATTGGTTAAATAAATAAAAAATCTATTCTAAATGTAATATGAGCATTTTCATTGTAAGTGAAATTAAATATATAAATTCTAATTTTATAACACAGCTACTTAGATATTCATGTTACAATAGATATATGTTGTATAAAAGATATCATTTACCAATAAAATTAATATCTTATAATATCAGAAGGGGTTTTGTGGAGATTTTACAAATTTCAATGATTGAAATCATGAGTCAATTAAAGCTAGTTCACCATGGAAAAAAGCCTGGAAGCACTAGACGGCCATTTCTTCCTATTGTGGGAATCTTCAACAGTGAACATCCACTATCCCATCCCCCTCGAGATTCGAACCCAGGAACTGTCGGTCTCGCGTGCGAACGCTTAACCATTAGACCACTGAGCCACTGAAGCTAGACATTAACACCATTGTATACCGACCGGCTCAGTGGTCTAATGGTTGAGTGCTCGCACGCAAGACTGACAGGTCCTGGGTTCGAATCTCGCTAGGTAGCGTCGTGGATACACACTGCTGAGGAGTCCCACAATAGAACGGAACGGTTATCTTGGGCTTCCATGTTTTCTGTGGTGGTCTAGCTCCAATTGAATCATGATCTGAACTATTGAAATTAATATCATATAACTTAATCGACCACTATATTTATATTGTAGGTGATAAGACCTTGTTCTAATGATCCGGTATTAAAGTTTCAGACTGTGGAGTTGGATAAAAAGGCGCGAGTCCAACAACGATAAATATAATTCTGTTTGAGATTACAAATACGCCTTGTTGATGAGTCTCAACCTGCTTACATACTGTATGTTGTATTATGTATCCTTATTAATTAACTCACTCTTGTTTCCTTTCAGTAAACTTTATTGGTTTGTTAATTTTTATCAGAATGTTATTTATATTTTCTTTATTTTAATACAGAAAACTAATATATTACAAAAATTGTCTATACCTTCGGTGACAATGTTGAACTGTTTAAGACAAATTGAATCACGATACAATTCAACTGCACCGTTTCATAATTCAATTCATGCTTTAGATGTATTGCATGCAACTTATCAACTATTTCAATGTAATAGTTTAAAAGTAAGTTATACTTGGTACTTTATTCATATCTGTCATAACTTGTGACCACTCAGTAAAAGCATATGAGAAAACCACCAATTAGAATACTGATTGATATTACTTAGTATCTATGAGTTGACCAATTATACATACACAACCAGAACAAGTAACCTTAGACCAACTGACAAGTCCTTATTAGTTCACAATTTTCCACTCAGTAACCACAATCAATGAACGAATATTATATTCCAAGAGGACGTAGTCTATACACAAACATACTAGATCATATCATATATATATTAATAATTATCCATAAATTGTTCCTGGAAGTGACCATACCTATAGTCTTAGATCGGATATGGCAATATTTTCGTGCAAATGTTTCATTATTTGCTGTAATACACTTGTCTTGTTTCTGATGCATATTGTCTCTTAAAAATACTTAGAGATCCTTGTTACGACTTGACAGTCGGTTCGGTACGGATCTGTGGTGATTGTTTATTAAGAGACGATTGAGTTTGTGTGCAAATACATAGGTTTACGAACTTGAATTTGTATAAATAAAGACGAGCTCGCCATGGTACTTTGAGGTTTTGCATTGTGGATAAACACTTTGTTGGAATTCCATACTTATAGAGAAAATAACAGATTAGTTCGCCTTAGCTTTATTAATTTAGTCACTCAGGCTGGGGGCCTGAATGACTCTGGTTCAAATCACACAGGAAACATCAATTCTATCAGTTCTATTGACTAGAGTCATGTGATACTGATGAGTGTCACCCGACACAAGGCCCTGGTTCAGGATTTCCTGCCGACAACCTCAAGCTACTTACTATCAAAGCATTGTCCACTAGATATCTAGCCAGTTAGAATAACGGTGGCAATGCAATTTGATCCGTAGAATTGAACAAACTATAAAAGATCAAATATTACATTACCCAATACTCAGAGGTCAATCAATTTTAAGGTGTGTACTTTGAACGTCGTTCAGTACCTTTTTTTTATCTAATTAACAAGGGTAATATCTGTTCTAATAGTTTAAACTCATGTTGTTGATCATAGACTCAATTTGAAGACTGATTTGCAAAGTTATCTTCGTAAAACTGTTCCTCAAAACAATAAGTCTTAAATAATCTTTCTGAATCGAGATTTAAAAGTGATTTCAAAAAATGTGGGTAACAGTTAGGTGATAATTTTCAATAATAGAATAATGTGAAAGTTATTTAATAGTAGACAGCTATCATTTTTGGTTAAGTTACTACCGAATTGAAATAAACATTGATTATTATAGTCTCTTTCTCATTCAACAACTTATGTGGTAACATGCTGTTAGGTTGAAAGAGTCTAGGAATGCTATGTGCCTGTGTTCACATGTTCAAGATCAAACTATGAGTGAGAAGTTATAAAAGTGACATAGTATTGAAAGAAGTCTATTTTATTCCTGGTATCAAAATCTCGGCTTACTTATCCTTGTCTGGGTCAGAAAGACAAACATAACAATAAGTATATTAATGTTTTGTACATCTATTCATTTGGTTTTGTTAATTCCGAATCCGTAGTCAATTCCCAATCTTATCACTGCCTCATAACAGTTTGGGTAAGGGTGTTGGAAGAGTATATGTCCCTACCAAGTTAGCCTGCGGCTTTTACTATGCAGGTCGAAATGCACGTCCGGCGGTATGTGAACGAGGCTCTCCTCGTGGTCGTGTGACCACGCACGACCACCAATGATAGGTCTTGAAGTGGACGTTGGCCAACGGATATGCGACCAGTTTGGTGACCGTGCGAACAGTTGGTAAATGGTGAACGTGTCCACAGTGACAATAACGCCAGAGTGACAAAATGCATGCTGACACCCGTGAATAGCCCACTGATCACTGAGTCTGGCTCGTGTGTCCACATTAAACTTCCTGGATGGCAACATATAAACATGCACACAGTTAGTAATTGCACGTATAAACGTAATGCGTTCTGTAATGACTGATGATGAAGTCCAGATTATTTGTAATATCCTGTTTAGTTAACTATTAGACAGATAATGAACCATTGTAATTTACATAATCACAGCATTTCTCCAGTAATTTTATTTACAATCTTTAAAGATAAGGGCAGCTTTCACATGTCATGTGTCAATGCAGTAAAACCAATCTCTTTCTGACAAACTTTTTCTATGGCTTATTTCTATTCACTTCCTCAGAATATCTTCAGTGATCTTGAAACGTTTGCAATTTTCTTTGCTAGTGCTATACATGATATCGACCATCCTGGTTTAACAAATCAATACCTTATAAATACAAGTAAGTTAGAAAAATACATTTAAAACTTAGCTATTTAATAAAAACTTATGTCGTATCTGTTCCGTCTACAAGCAATACGACGAATACAATCCTCAGCAGTCCTCTCAATATTACTCTGTTTGTGAAACATAGTCTATGAAAGTAGACTTGCGTAAGGTGAAAATTATTGATCATAGATGTTTGCTTATCGTGAAGTAATCGAGTGGTCATTAGTATTAGCGGATCAATATCGTCACTTCAGTCGATAGTTCAAGGTTATCGACAACAAGTCCTGGACTAAGGTTTATTGTTGGAGTTGTTCAATAGTAGTGTTTTCCACTCAGTGACACTAATTAACGTTGGGTTAAGATTTTACCAAGAGCGTCAATTCTCTTAAAATTATTTGTATATGTTGTTAACAGAAAGCCTAGATCAGACATGACTTCTTGCTGTTTGCTTGCAACTACTAACATTATCCCATTCTCCATAACATTGAGTAATTAATTATGATTGCTTCTAACAATGGTATAGCCAAATCACATTAGCAAATGACCATAAGACCTCGACACCTCTTAGCCAATCAAAAAACAGAAAATACAAATGAGTACTTAATAACAGAAAATGCAAAAATTTGCAACGAATATAATATTGATTTTACATGATTCTACAACCTCCTTGAGTTGCGTATAAGTTGAGATTCAGAGTTAGAAATTAGAATTAGTATATTTATTTATCCCATAACCTATAACTCCAGCCCTAAATTCCACTATTAACCATGAATCTTACTCCCAATCTTAAATACAAATTCTAAGCCAATCTCATTCCTAACCTGTTAGGTTTTGAAGCGGTTACAAGTTCACTTAATCTGCGAACGGAACAAAGACTCGGTGATCAAAGACCAATAAGCTAGCTATTCGATGCGTCCCAGCCCCGCTAACTAGAGAGAGAAGTCCAAGCTTGGAATGGAGAAGTATATTCCGAAAACAAACACAAATCAAAACGTATATATACAGCACAAAACCGTCCTCGGAGAGAGTCACAAAATAGCATACTAAAAGACACAACGTACCAATAACATTTAAGATTCTCCCAAGTGGGAAATACGACATGAAGGTGAAAAGAGCGCTTTTGGCGCGTAAACAAAGAAATTCAAATTTTCTAAATAAAATTACAAAATTAGGTCCTTTTTTAAGTAAGTTCTGGAGATTTAACCTCCCCAACATAACCCCCTGACTAACATTGCAATGAAAAGTCTCTTTATCTCATATTTATTTAAACATATTTTGAATTATTTATTGTTCGCATTTACAAATGAGTGTTTTGCTCAGTGATCCAACGTCTTATAAGTAATAAGCGATGCTTATTCTATTAAATTTCTCTTTAATAACTATGACAGATAGTTACCATGTTGATTTGCTATTTATGCACTGACAACTTCAAGCATAATTCTTGATCCAGACTGATTAGTAAGTATACTTAAATTAAACTTTATAAACTATATTGAATGTTTTGTATCATCCTCCTTAATGTGTTAATCTAAATTTTTATCTTTTCTTTTTTTTCAAAAAAACTTACTCCTTCTACCATCTTTGTCTACTGGATTCACAGATCATGAATTAGCTCTATTGTACAATGATATTTCAGTCTTGGAAAATCATCATTTACATGTAGCATTTAAATTGATTAATACAGAGAAAGAATGTGATTTTACACAATATTTTACTAATCAACAAAAATTATTATTTCGTAAAATGGTAATCGCTTTAGTAAGTAGTAGTAGTAGTTCTTTTATTTCTAATATTTTGTTCAATTGAATTATTTTTATCATTATAGGGTTGTGAAGATTTTAAAGTTCTTGATTGAGATTATGAATTGATTGATATTAGACCATTATTGAAAACCTGGAAGCATTGGACGGGCGATTCATTCTATCGTGAGACTCCTTAGCAATGGGCATCTACGATTCCGCTTCGCGAAATTCGAACCCAGGATCTATGAGTCTCGCGCGCGAGCGCTTAACCACTAGACCACTGAGCCGGCATTTAGGTTTTCCATGGTGGTCTAGCTTTAACTGGTTTGCGATCTCAACCATTAAAATTACTATAATATCCACAAAACCCCTTCTGATACTAATTGAATAATAATCATGAAAAATTGCCAGAGGATAATGATAACAGATTACGGTTTGAAATTACAAAACAATAACTGCAAAAAAGGCAAGACTAATATATACTACAGAAGAAAATTAAGGTCAAGGAAGGATGAGAGGTTGTATATATTATTTTTGCATGTAAAGTTTGGGCTTAATTTGGTGGATTACTAATATTGAGGCCTTGTATTCTTCATTTACCTCGTGATTATTGGATAACCTCATTTGATGATAAGAGTCTCGAATCAATTTATGATATAATCCTTCCTATTCTTCTATAGAAATATATATTTTCCATATAACTATAAAGACAAATGTGTATAGCTTAAGTAAATGATTTCATCGAAATACTTATATTTAGGGTTGATTTGTTTGTTATATGCAATCTACATAGAAAGAATTGAGTATTTAATATTTTTAAAGCTGTCAGTTTTACCATGTAATGAACATAAGATAAGTCACTCATTTCTGAACTTCGCGTAAGGTTATTTCTTCAATCCTAATTGGTCATTCCCTAAACTATGCCTATACTCAGCTTTTTAATCATTGTTCTTTGTTTATAATCATCAAATGAGACGGTCAGCTGATCTCCTTGTTTGTTGAGAAACTGCTTCGTTTCTGAACGGTACTGTTCCTTAAATGGTATTATAATGGGAAAAGTCAGTGTCATCATGGACAGATGCTATGTTTGTGGTTTATGCTAACATTCTTCCAACCTACTCCTATACCATCAATAGTTGCTCGTCGAGGTGATTAGTGGACAGATAAATGCAACATACGTCCTAATCATCTCAGTCAATAAGGACTCACTACCCCGCCAATCAATTCTCAATTACTTATGTAATACTCTGCGTCTAACATCAGAATTGCCTACTCGATGATTCCAAATATCTGAGCAATGATTCAAAGACACCTATAATTGAATACTAGCAACTTACGAATATTCATTTTTAAAATCTTTCACATTGCTTTACCACTATTTTGTTTTAATTAAAAGGTATTATCCACTGATATGAGTAAGCATATGTCATTATTGGCTGATTTAAAAACAACTGTTGAGAAACAAAAAGCATTTCAAGGCAATGTAATCAATTTGGATAGTTATTCAGCTCGTATGCAGGTTGGTTTGAATAATTTTTTTCTGGTTAGCGTTTTTTTAGCGAGTTAGTTTTCTACGGGATAGCGTCGCTAACCCTATGCCCAGTCCTCCTCGTTTATCTGGGCTTGGGACGGGCAGCAGCTCCCGGAAGGACTCCAGGCGGAGTTCGTATGAAGGTATTTTCATGAAAATATATACAAAGAAAGATAAGTATTTCCGTATTGGTTCACATTTTAAATACATTCAGTCAAATTGTACCTGGTTGAATGAATGATACTCCTGATTTATACCATTCGCTTAACTTTTAACTAACTCAATTCGTTTTTTTCGAATTTATAAATATATCTTCGTTAATTCTCGATAATATCGAGAAAGATGTTGATAACATTTCAACTTTGATCATTTTACAATATCTTAAAACAGTCATGCAATATTGATGATGACTGATCCACTCACGATATGTCAGAACTCTAGCTATGGTTTCATAATAGAAATTAATGACTTTCACTCCACATCCCGACTTGACTGAAGCTAAAAGAATATTGTTAAATCCCAACTCCGAGAATCTATCAATTAAGCATTTATGTGAAACCTGGTGGTCCTTGACTGGATCGCATTTTGGAGACAAGGTTGAATAGTACATAGAAGTTCTATTCTAGGAAAAAACCAACTTTCTATTGCTCCCTGGTTTTCAATAGTACTCGAAGTAATATCATTCTGTGACAAATATGGTCTACACATATGAGTACAGACTCACACTACTTTAAAGCTTATCAACTGTAAATTATTATTGTAATAGACTATGTGTCATTTCTTTCAAATATATCAAAACCACTTGGCGTATTTTCACATATTCGACAAGGCGTCAAGTTTACTATTTTACATAGTTTGATTACTGAACCAATATCATGCTGTTCTAGTCGATCAAGTTGCAACGCCATCTCCATTTTAAATAAGAAAGAAAGATTAGTTCAGCGAAGAGTTCTCTTTTCGGCGAATTCATTTTCAAAGCTGTACAATCGCAAATATATATACTTATTTTTACAGGGTGATAATAATACTGATAATAAACTTATGATATACATGGTGACAGTGAGGTTAAATAAACAAAGGTATTAGAAAAATGTTTTAAAACAAGGAAAGTTTGATAGTTAATGGCTTAGATATTCATCGGGTAAGGGTAGCTCAGCATGATAAAATAACATAAAATGTTGAAACAGAGATGAAATATAATCGGAATGATCGTGGAAATAAAAACAAACCGGTTGGGGGTATAAGATTTGAAGGGAAGATGGAAGGTGAAGCAGGTGGCTGTAAAAGAACAAGAGTAATGAGAAAGAGAAAAATTTTAATACATTAAGACCATGGTAAAAGAAGAGGTTGTATCAGTCTCTTTTGTACACATAATTCTGGTTTTTCAAAATGTATGGCTATTGCCTCGGCAATGCAAAGAAGATGCAGTCTAATTGTCTTAGAAAGGCTTCTACTTACCTTGTAGATGACCTTGAACGCAGAGTCTGTCTTGATTGAGTGACCTGTGTTCACAAGGTGTTCGATTATAGAACTTCTTATTGAGCCGCTGCCTCCTCTTCATTTTAAATGACAGATTTTTTTATTTATTTGAACACATAAATATTGGTACAAAGGGGCACCGAATACATATGCGCCACAAAATCCACTTGATTTGTTTGCGGGTTGTGATACTTTCCAGGTGCACAAACCGAAACATAGCGGTTTTATTGGGGGGCCATACTTGGAGCCTTCGACCTAACGGTCTGATCCACAAGGTAGTGGAGCATCGTAAGGAAATAAAGTTCAATGATAGCCGGTGACAAACGATTGGTTCGTATGCCAATTGTTCCTTCAGAGTAATGTAGCCCATGTACACCATTGGTTTGGAATCAGGGTTTTCCAACCCCCCTAGGTGGACTCTCCATATCTATCAACCCGGTCGAAGCGCCAGACATTCGCTTTTCATCCTCTCAATTTCGTAAACAACACCACCGCCACGAGAAAGCAGTGGGTAGGACTTCCCTGGTATAAGCTATATACGCGTGGCCATGTGAGAGCATTTCGAGAGGCAGAGCGGACTCCCCATTCTCGGCCGTACCAGGGCATTTGTGGGCTTAAATGACAGAACATCTAGTTGACTGTGTTTGGTGATTTTGTAGTTCCCCTCATTGAAGAAAACGGCTCTTATCAAATGGACCATGTGTTTCAAGTAAGGTCTATGGATTCTGCGAGAATGATTCAAGGTAACAACGGCTGTCGACTTCTTGTGTTAATGAAAACATTGAATGTTATATATATAGATATAGATATGGTATTTTGTGCTTTCCCAACAGCTGATGCACTATCTTGAATAATCAACTAAAGAACCTAACTTTTTAGGTTATTTTGATGAACTGCACATAGAACAAGTATATTTTATCACAAATAGGGGAGTATTCCGAAGTTGATAAAATGACGTTTGTATAACTTTAGCTCATATACTCATTAAACACATAAAACACATTTCTCAGCATATTTTTTTTACTCTCTAATTATCTATAGATATTAGAATGTATAATACATGCAGCTGATTTAAGTAATCCAACAAAACCATTAAAAATATATCAAGAATGGGTTTCAAGAATTATGGAAGAAATGTTTCGTCAAGGTGATCAAGAAAAACAATTTGGAATTGAAATTAGTCCAATGTGTGATAGAGAAACTGCATGCATTTACAGTACACAAGTAAGTTGTTTACTACTATGTATATGTTATATATAAGAGATAATCTTTGTTTTTCATTTCTAAACTGTCAAAGAGTTTATAATTTCAAGTTGTTGATATTCAGCTGTTAATTGTATTAGGTTTTTGAAGTAAAAGATGTCGAGTACAAGTCCAAATGTGAATATCATCATTGGGATACAAGTACACTTATTTGATGAGACCAGAATAGAGAATAATGGATGACCGTTTTTTCTAGTATAGGGCTCTTAAGCAGTGCACATCCTCAACACTCGAAAATCTAAAACAAGACATTCGGTCTCGTGCGCATACTCTTAACCTATAGACCACTTAGCCGACATTCGACGATGTCGATATTTAACCTCAACCATTTTTTTATTATCACTGGTAATACTATAATCACTACATCTACGACCTTAATATTTATCTAATTAATTTTATCCTGTTGTACTGATGTGATGCTTATATCTGCCAAATCTCAAATTATTTCGATGAGCTGATATCCAAGTATCTTGAGTTCAGTGGTTTTCTATGGAAAGCTAGTTATATTGTTTTCATACTATCATGACTCTGTAGTGTATTAGCTTACAGATAATTCCTAAGGCTTCTTATGTTAATAAAAATTAAAACCATTATAAAATAAATCCCAACAGTGTATGAACTCAGTAGGCAACATGAAGCACGGACTAGTTTATTATTTAATAGCACAGACCACACTAAGCGAATTCAAGCAGAAAAGCTAAAGCGCACGGTCGAGCAAGTACAGAGGCGAATTAAGAGTTGAATTAGTAAGATTCAAGCACATGCGTATGCGCGGGAAGCGATGCTAAGTGTTGTTGGTAAAATGGAAAATGAAGCGATGAGAAGGCGAGTCAGTCAACTTAATTTGACCAAGCGTGACAAACAAAAATAAGCTACAGACATGTGATGAGTTGGGTAAGCGATACGAAAATAAGCTCAAATGAAAACAGTCAAGGTCAATAAGCGAACAATTGACAAGGTCAAAATGTGGCTCAAGAAGAATGAATAGATCAGTCTGTCCGGAAGCTAGAATATCCCATGTGCATTTGACATGGCACAAGATACTACAATTTATTATCCTGAAAGCAAAGCACAATCTGTAAAGGACTTTTTTAAGTTAGCTAACGAAGCGATGGGAATGATCTCCAGCTCAGCTGGATAGATGCTTTTGATTATGCTGAGTTCACTGAGCTAGGTAGCTTAACTGTGAAGCCAACATTGTTATCCTGGACAACATAAAGTAAGCGTTGAAGATGTTATCCAGAATGACCAGCGAACACATCATACGGTCACTTGTTTTTTTTCTAAATAATTAAATTAGTCAGAAAATCAAAATCATATATAATCATTCTGTATAAAGATACTGATATATGCATCATAGACAAACGAAACAATCACTTCAGGACAATGGGCGACCATTTTCCACTGTCTTCGGTGGGTAACTGCTTCACACCCGACACGGAATATCTCCATTGGTCACAGCTTCGTACTAGAACTCCGGAAATTCCAATTCGAATCTTATCACTAGTGGGCACATGAATATTTCCAGTGAGGACTTATAGAGATTGAACCAGTATTTTGAAGTTTTCAATGATGCTCTAAATTAGATCGGTTCACAATCTCAATGAAATTTAACAATCTCCAAAACCACTGAATGGAAACTACCTTTGTTGTAAATAATCAACAGGCTGGTAAAACTATAACTAATAAGATCTAAAATAGTGAACATTAGGTTTTGACAGACAATTCATTCATCCATATAGCGAAACACTTTAATATTACAGTTGGTCAGTTTGTGAGGAAAATGCCAACTGTTAACCACAAACATTAATTTCTCATACAAATTTCTAGACCTATCAGTAAGTGATTGAAGTCGCTTAAAACCATTTAGGTAACGTTCAAAGATTGTCCATAAATCATGATTGTTACCATTACCAATAAAATGAGTTTGATTGTAAACAACTCTTTGCTAGTGGATGATAATCATAAACCACTTGACTTATTATAGTGCATTATATCGAGTTTAGTTCTTTTACCTGAGATTTAAACAAGGACTTTCTGTTGGAGAGATCCAGAAAACTCTTCGATAAAAGCTAAGAAAGGCTCTAAAAACACTGAAAAGCATCTTATCTAATTAGCATTCACTAGAAGTTTTGCCAGAAATATCTAGAAGTTGGAGAGTCATACTTCGAGTTTCTGATTGGATGATTACTACATTGCTGTTATGCTTAGTAGCATTCTAGAATTTTCGGGAAAACTGATAAGTCTTGCTAATTGAACGCTATATTCGGTTCCTAAGCTGTTCTAGTAAATCCCCAGGCTAGAACTACACAGTGACTTGAACACGAGAGAAAAGGTGCGAAATAGGCAAGAAACACTTCCCTCCGAAGGTTCATTTATGTACAGAAAATATAGGATGCTTATAGTATTTTAAACGTCCTTGGTTTTTCCCGAAAGTTCTAGAATACTACTAGGCATTGTAGCAGTGTAGTAATCATCCAATCAGAAACTCGAAATGTGACTTTCCAACTTTTAGTGAATGCAAATTGGATAAGATGATTCTCAGTGTTTTCAGAACCTTTCTCAGTTTTTTTCGAAGGGTTTTCTGGATCCCTCCAACAAAAACTGAAGGACATCTAAAATACTATAAAAACCCTATATTTTCTGTACATTAATGAACCTTCGGAGGAAAGTGTTTCTTGCATATTTTGCACCTTTTCTCTTGTGTTCAAGTCACTGTGTAGTTCTAGCCTGGGGATTACTAGAAGAGCTTAGGAACCGAATATAGCGTTCAATCAGCAAGATGTATCACTTTCTGAAGTTCATATATGTGAGAATGTTTACACATAAATACAAGTTGACTCCTTCTTCCAATGCAAAAAGTCTATATAGCACATTTTACAAATTATAAAATCCATCTTTTATTAATGATATGTAGAACCGAGTCAAAATATCGGACATTTAAATTATTCATTCAAACTTCTATTAGATTTCAGGTGCCTATGTCAAAGGGAAATGGAATAGTTAGTTCATTCAACATTGATCAAAATACACTGAAATCTTCCACACAAAAAAATCAACTTCCACGACTCAACATGTGGAATATAATCCTTCGGAATTGTCTTAATACATTTTTAAACTTATCCCACATGGCACACCAGTCAATCATAAAATACGCAAAACTAGGTAAACATTTACATCAGTTGAAAGTGAAATTATCAAGACAAATGACAGATTGGTAGTAGAAGTCACTAACAGTATTCATTATACTAGAAGACATCAGGTATATACAGTATGATTCGTAGAATTTAAAAAAAATCTATAAGATAATTTTAAAACTGAAGATCTTTAGCGATATTAAAAGTGAATCTATCCACAGAATTGTAATAGATTTCTATAATCATGAGAACCTTGCCCACATAAGTCTATACACACTAATATGATCCATTTCAACAGTCACTGATCTCATCTTCTAACTTATTACTACACCAACTAAAGTCAAGCGTCGAAGAAGGCAGAATGTAGGTATACATAAATTACATATCCTAACCAACTTAGTCAATTAAAACTACATATCTATCCATCAAAGATTTCCCATTCTTACACAAACTATGTGGAATCTGAAGGCGAAGTGAACCCACAACTCATTTATGTGTACTATACTAAATATTCTTCAATCATATATATACTAAAGAGGAAGAATGTATTTGTAAAATCTCAGCGAAACAATTTGAAGTAAATCCAACGTTTCGCCTGACAATCTAATCCAAACTTTTTTTCAAGAAAATATAATTAAACATTAAAATGATCGAATATAAATCGGCACATGGTTCTCCGGTTTACTGTATACTGAATAAGTCATTCAATCAACGCTAACAATGTATAAAGTAGCTATTTACATTATAAATACATTCTTCCTCTTGAATGTTTCAAATCAACTCGGCGCCCAAGTATATATATATACATATATGTTAATAAGCGTTCTTTTTCATTCGATTTCTTTATCTTAGATTGGTTTCATTGATTACATAGTTTATCCATTATGGGAGACAATGGCTGAACTTCTACATCCAGGTGTACAAGTTCTAATGGATAATATAGCAAACAATAGAAATTGGTATATGAATGCAAAAGAGAAAGAAGAAAAAGAAGTAAATAAAAGAAACAACAGTATTGATCAGTAATAATAATAATAAAGTATTACTATTATATTTTGTAAAAAAGATCTTTCATTAATTTTTTTTTACAAACAAACAAAAAGCAACTGAATAACCAGTTCTTCTTAATATACATAGAGACCTCTTCGATATACATATACGTATTGAATGTCGAACCGAAAAAAAAGGGGAGAAGCCCATAAGTAAACTCCTATATATTCATCTATCTTCTTTTATATACAAATCTCTTTATAAAAAGACAATAACATTTTGTGCCAAATATAAATAATAAAAAATATCTTTGTGCAAAAAAGGGAGGATCATTCAGATTATCATTGAATAAAGAAAAACCTTGATTTTTCTTTTTTTTTTTCAAGGAAAAATGATGCACAAATTTGTAGGATTCATTTTATTTAGATAAAGTACTTGTTGTGATACAGTCGAGTGAGAATTTGTGCGAGTTTCTTATATATGTATGTTATGGTCCAAATCCATCAATCAGGAGCAGTGAATTATGGATCGGATCAATGACGAATAAAAACCCGTACGAACAGTTTATAGTCTTTATCGGTCCTGTTTCTTGCCTAGCCCAGCCACTTAAAATCAGAACACCAATCTCAGCCTCTGCAATATGAATCGTTTATTTCAAGCATACTGGGTTTATACACCAACCAGACAGACCACATCGTACCATAAAATATGAAACAACATTTGTACAAGAATTAGCCAATTGTGGCAATGAGTGTGGGAGTTAGTAATTAATAGACAGGGCATAATTCAAGAATGGTAAATAGCATAATAATAGTTCATAGGTTAAGATAAGGCTCATAATAAGAGGGACATGAATATGAATAGTTTAGTTAATTAACAATTATACGACAAAAATATACGCACAGTATTGGTCCATAAATAGATCCCAAAAAATTACCACTCATTATTCTTATCGGGACACTACAATGTATGTTAGAATCACCGATTATTGAGTAATGTTGTGTGTAGGAGGAAAGATGTTAAATCAGTTAGTGAGAAAGTATGAACTCTTAACGATTGACATCATCAAGATAGGTAACCACGAACAGAGTTGATTGACGTAGAATTAGATTGAAAGGAAGCAATCAAGTGAAAATATGACATAATACCGTGAAGTCGATAACTATTGAATTTGACCATATCTGTAGATGCATAGTGGGTGTCAATGAGATTATCGTGTTTTAGTCGGAAAGTGTCGAGTGTTATAAATCAGGATTGACCGCGACGACAAATATTAGTCTTGTTTTCTAATAGATCTTGAATTTTAAAATGACCATTTACATCTTACTTCAGAAATTCATTCATTCTGCTCTAATCATATTCTCAATGCTAGTTTTTTCACTATCAAAATTATTATTACCTCAAAATTCATGTATCTTTGTAGTAATTTAGTAACTTAGATGGATACGTCAGTCAGTCAGTCAGCTACAACGTAGGACCAGGCACATATATGCATCGGTCCAAGTTGCCATACCTCATTAACACAACAAGATGGACACCGGATTCATAAAATTAGTTAATCCAGTTGTGGTAATATATAAAAGAAAGATTGAACATAAGGATGGATATAGTACAGGAAGAAAGAATTAGTTCGTAGAAAGAAAGATATGAAGCGATTTTAATCTCTTAGTTTAAGGGAAGATAGAGAGTGTATACACCTACGCCATTGTGATCGATTCTGAGCCATGTCACCAAGAGTCTCCAAACATTGGTTAAGAGAGTCACGCGGACCCCAACCAAGTAGTCTGCATCTATCAACATGGCTCAGACTAGAAGTTAATTACTTCAAGCACTGATGCCACGTTTTGGTTTGGCCGCCCCTAATTCTCTTCCAACCATCTCTAACACCGGTTAGCATTGCACGTCGTGGTAATCGGTGTTCGGGCATACGTAACACGTGGCCCAACCATCTCAGTCGATGAAGATTAACAACCTCATCAACTGATTTACCATCATTCCCTAATACCCTGCGTCTAACCTCACTATTACTTACCCGGTGATCCCAGCAATATTTCTAGGGCATCTGTGGTCAAATACTAGAAGCTTACGAGTGTCTTCTACTCTTAATGGCCATGTTTCGCTGCCGTAAATTAAAACAGAACGGACTGCCGCGCAGTATACTCGTCCTTTTATTGATAGACGGATATCTCGCCTTCGCCACAGGTGACGTAAGTTGGCAAAAGCCAAGCGAGCTTTTCGAATCCGTGCTAAGATTTCGTCAGACACCAACCCATTAGGGCTGATCAGACTTCCAAGATAAGTGAAGTTTTCAACGCGTTCGACTACTTCACTCCCTATCCTTAGTTCAGGTGTTGACGCAGATCTATGAGTTGATCAATTACACATACACAACCACATTTGATAACCTACAGACAACCGTTAGGTCCTTATTGGTCCACAATTCTCCAGCCAGTAACAGAAATCAGTGAATGAATATTATATTCCAAGAGGACGTAGTCTATACAAAACATACTAGATCATATCATAAAACGAAAAATAATAATTATTCACGATCAAGATTAAAATGGCTGTGAGTAGAGACACTGTGGATAACAAACTGTTAACTGATGAAGAACAGTAGTTAATGAGTAAATCGGGAGCTTATGATGAAATATATATATAATCTAGTTACTTAGTAATTATAAAATTAAAATACATCCATAAATTGTTCCTGGGAGGTACCATATCTTTAGTCTTCGTTCGGATATAGCACACACACACACAGAGTCTGAAAACAAACCATGTGGATCAACTCAGTGTGTAATGAAGAAATCAAAACTGCTTTAATTGTATATTGGGTCACTTTATCGAACATAGTGTATATCTCTGGAGAAGTGTATTACAAGCATTTTCTACAAGCTGAATTCGGTTAGCTGTAATGATGATGAGGAGCTTATTAAATCATTCAAAGTAACAAAACAGATGATAATCTAAGCAAGAATCAATCAGGATTAAGAAAACGAGTATTGGATTTTGGCTCGAAATTCATTCATCCATATGCTTAAATAGCATTTCGGCGTTAGAATTGATGCCAGTTTGCAATGGAAAACTTTACATTTTGATTGTGATTTCACACATTCATTGATAACCATCTTCACATTCAAGTAGGTTGGTGAATTTCCTAAAGGTTATGTTTACATCCCTCAATGGTCTTGCGATTGTGATTTAAGCAGGGAATGAAGACAAATGCTCAATTTTGCTAAATATTGTGAATAACTCCTTCCCATTGATTTCTACACTGGTTTCATTGTAAACTTTCTTCTATGTGTGGACTGAAAAAAAATTGTACTAGGAAAAATAAATAACTATCCAGTCTATTATCACTCAGCTGTTATAAATCGTATACTCAGGTTTAATATGATGCAGTCTATATTTAGTGTATTGAGTCAAAGTATTGTCGTATTACACTTTGAAAACGTGAAAAGAAAATTATACTTTCTCATTACAACTAATTTTCACATATTCAGTAACTTTTTAATTATGAAGTCATTAAAGTCTACTTATAACTGATACTCAACATTTTGAATCCCGATCTTTTGTCCATTTATTCAAGCTAGCAAGTATCATGTACGAATCATTAATCAGGTATGAACGATGAAATCTTGAAAGAAAAGAAAGACGAACTATAAGCATATGTTCTACTTCTTCTTCTTCTTCTCTACATTCGAACACTAGTGATCATTATTTTATTCACTAATCTACGACAGTGCAACTCCATTTAAATCATCTCACTGAACTCAGTCAGTCAGTAACAACGTAGAACTTCGTACGTACGTACATCAGTTCGAGTTGCCACACCACATTACCACAGAGATGCAGTTGTCGATTCAAATCCCGTAGTGGTAGGGGTTGGAAAATTATAAGCAGTAATCAGAAAAATTAGGGTTTGAAGATGTTATTTAAGGAGTATAATCCAGTGAAATAAATTTGGAAAGACAAAAGAAAAGGGACATAAAGAATTCAGAAGATTAGAATTTGGGAGAACACAAAGAGTGGATGCATCTGCGCCATTGCAAACGATTTTGAGGTATGTAATTCAGGATCTCTAACCATCGGTTGATATCATCTCGCGATCCCCAACCAGGTAGTCTACACCTACCAACATGACTCAGTCCACTTGTCAGTGACTTCATGGACTTGTGCCATGTTTTGGTGTGGCCGCCTCTAGCTTTCTTCCAATCTACTCCTATACAACAAAACATAGCACATCGAGGCAGTCGGTCGTTGGGCATACGTAACACGTGTCCCAGCCATCTCAACTGCTGAAGTTTCACTACGTCATCAATTGATTTGCCATCCTTACTTAGTACCCGTTTCCTAACAACTGTGTTACTTACTCGATGGTCCCATGATATACGAGCAATGTTTCGAAGACATCTGTGATCGAATACTATTAGTCTAGGAATATCCTCTACTCTTACCGGCCACGTTTCACTGCTGCAAAGTACGACAGAACGGATTGCTGCGCAGTAAACACGTCCTTTGGTTGGTAAACGGATATCTTGCCTACTCCATAAGTGACGCAGGTTGGCAAAAGCTAGTCGAGCCTTCTGTATCCGTGCTGAGATTTCGTCACACACCAGACCACAAGGGCTGATGAAACTTCCAAGATAAGTGAAGCGGTCGACACACTCAATTACTTCACTCCCTATCATTAGTTCGGGTGTCGATGTAACCCAATCCTGAAGCAACATTTTGCATTTCGGGGGAGAAAATCGCATCCCGAACATGCTTGCATTGTTGCTTAGAGTGGTCAGAAGACTCTGCATTTTGTCAGCGTCTTCACCAAATAAAACTATGTCATCTGCATATTCTAAGTCAACAAATGAACCTCCTGGTAGAAGTTCAACCCCTGGAACTAAAAAAAAGTGTTCACCACAAACTCAACATGCTTTTCTTGTTGTTGGAAAATGGGAGAATTTCATGAAAAAAGCTAGTTTCCACAAGTTAACAGCTATACATTCGCCAAAGGATGTCCTCGGCATTAAATTTTACAAATGAGTGTCAAACGATCATAACGTTCAAATCTCCGTCAGTTCAGATAGAGAACGGAGTGTACCTCCACTAAAATCAGTCCATTGAGCGACAAAACTATTCCCCTCCCAACACTAGTACTTGTAAAAAGAATTTTTTTATAAAAAAAAAGAAACAACCAAAAGCATGAACGTATTTGATTGATTTATTGACTCTGTGAAATGATCTCAGGAGTTCAAATGAATGATACGAATGTATATATGTTAAGCTCTATAGATGATAATAATGAAAATAATAATACTGTTAGTCTTAAATGCAACAGAAGATAAATGAAAAGAATACTCGAAATGATTCAGACACCGGAGAATAATAAAATTGATTGTATGTAATAAACGCACCGAGATTAATCAACGACACGTACACACACCATGAGCAAAACGATTGATATAAGAAATAGAGTAATTGAGATGACAATTTTTAGCTGTGAACAAAAAACAATTTCGTTTTTGTTGTTCATTTGTAATGAAATTTCACTCGAACTAAATATTTTTGTTTCACTTGTGATACATGGTATACAATGTATTCATTATAACACAAAGTGGTATTTGCTACATTTGAATCAATCGGTTTACCAATAGGATAAACAACACCATCTTTATTGGTGTGAAATGTCGACGGATCCGGAGTAACTGACCCAATGCCTAGATAAATGAGAATGAAAAGGACAACAGGTGAAAGAGAGCCGCGATTGGTTATAGAGAGAAAATAGACACCCGCTTCGTAACTTTATAATATGAAATGGGTATTTTAATATAACTGCTTCACTAGAGATTTTGTTGAATCGTGATAAGAGCAACTAGTAGTATACAAAAACATTTCAACACTTAGACGCCAACACAGAAAGAAAAGACAAAACTAGAACAAAGTGAAATGATACAACCCTGTTTATATATATATGGTAATGAAAACGTGACCTTTAAATATACAGAAATTTAGCGAAATAAAACGGTAATAGAAATCAATCAGCAAAAGCTATGTAGGATTATCATTATCAGCTAGATTTTTAGCGTTATTAAGTTATCTTCTGATTATCTTGGCTGATTTAAAATCGGAGATTCACACTGTACGTGAAGTGCTTGTATTTGTGTTGGAAAGAAAACAACTACTGTCTGACCTACAATCTGCCTAGTTCTAAACCACTAGTCGTACCAATATATCTGTCTCACATGCCCAGTTTATCATATATATATATATATATATATATATATATATCGAAAAATTGTTTGCTAACCACTTGTTAGTAGCTTTGCATATTTCTACTACAAAATTCCATCCTTACAACTGATTGGTTAATTGTAATCTCAAAGAATTAGTCGCTTTGATAAATTTAGATAATGTAATGAGAAGACATAGTTTATCAGAATTATGTGATATATTTGCGCAATACATTTCGAACAATCTGATCACACATATACTTGTTAAGAACATTTATATATGAAAAATTAAAAGGTCGACTAGACAGGTTAAGGGTAAGTCATAACAAAGGAAAAATATTAAAGTACACAAAAACAAATATGATTACCACTCTGGATAGTAAATCAGTACTACCAGGGTAGGTTAAGTGTAAGCACAAATTGTTTTTGAACGCATAAAGGGGGTTTCAGTTTTCGTATAGCCAAGGCTTCAATAAACCTTAGTATACGTCCTTGAAGGCTTTTGTACAACACTACAAATGCTGACTTGATGTCAACCTTATGACCCGTCTCAATCAAATGTTTCGCAATGGATGATGATGTTTGTCTATCCTGTGATCTTATTTCACCATTGGAATTCATCTGATTCTGCAATTATTTTGGTATATGTTCACCCACCCTTAATTGCAAATCACGATTGCTCCTCCCTACGTATGTGTTTCCACACATACATGTAAATTGATAGACACAATGGGATGTGACAATCGTTTTCGTGCTGTTTGGGCTTTTGGTGAAACATAGACCTTGTCTTTTCGATAATGACAAACTGGGCTGCATAAAATGACCGGTTGATAGCTAATTTAAGTCTCTGTTTCAACATGAGACTATTTGTGTCACCTCTGAATGGTAGCGTAATATAAACTCGCTTTTTGGGTCCCAGAAGCATCATAGGTCTAGTCATATTGCAACCCTTCCAGCGGTTTATGAACTTCAAAGGTTAACCATTATTAAATAACGCATCAGTCAAGAGCTTCATCTCTACTTCAATAGTATCACTAGTACAAATACGATTTTTTCTATTGAATAAGCTTTTTATTAAACCGCGTTTATAATGAATAGGGCAGTGACTATGAAAATTAAGATATTGTCCTGTCCATGTTGGTTTTCTATATGTAGCACGTTTGATGGAACCATCATCTCTCCTAGTAATCAGGATGTCAAGAAAAGGAAGTTGGTTGTTCTTCTCTTCTTCACATGTAAAAGAAATGTACTTTTGTCTACTATTGAATTCTAACAAGCGGCTTATGTCTTCAATTTTATCACCTATGATTATTATGTCATCTACATATCGTTTATACAGACCCATCTTTCGAATTGAGTCTCCAACTAAATTTTCCACATATCCCATGAACACATCAGCCAGCAATGGTCCTTGACTGATGCCTTAATCAATAATGGTTACCCTTTGAAGTTCATAAACCGCTGGAAGGGTTGCAATATGACTAGACCTATGACGTTTCTGGCACCCAAAAAGCGAGTTTATATTACGCTACCATTCAGAGGTGACACAAATAGTCTCATGTTGAAACAGAGACTTAAATTAGCTATCAACCGGTCATTTTATGCAGCCCAATTTGTCATTATCGAAAAGACAAGGTCTATGTTTCACCAAAAGCCCAAACAGCACGAAAACGATTGTCACATCCCATTGTGTCTATCAATTTACATGTATGTGTGGAAACACATACGTAGGGAGGAGCAATCGTGATTTGCAATTAAGGGTGGGTGAACATATACCAAAATAATTGCAGAATCAGATGAATTCCAATGGTGAAATAAGATCACAGGATAGACAAACATCATCATCCATTGCGAAACATTTGATTGAGACGGGTCATAAGGTTGACATCAAGTCAGCATTTGTAGTGTTGTACAAAAGCCTTCAAGGACGTATACTAAGGTTTTATTGAAGCCTTGGCTATACGAAAACTGAAACCCCCTTTATGCGTTCAAAAACAATTTGTGCTTACACTTAACCTACCCTGGTAGTACTGATTTACTATCCAGAGTGGTAATCATATTTGTTTTTGTGTACTTTAATATTTTTCCTTTGTTATGACTTACCTTTAACCTGTCTGATAAACTATGTATTCTCATTGCATTATCGTAATTGTAATCTAGCTGATGATGATGATACATATTCTAACTGTCCAATCATATTACAATGTGAACTGGTGATTTTTGTGCATGTGCCAATCGTTGACTGATTGTCTTGTGGTTGAGTTTAACACTTTGAATGTGGGATTTTTTCTGAAATAAAACTAATTTTTATGAATTGTAAAACCGTTAATTATTCGTACATAGTCATATTCCAAATATTCAAAGAAATCAAGAGTTCATCCGGTCTGATTCAACCTTAGTAGTGTTATTTTGATAAATCTGATGAATCAGCAATCACATGAAGGTAGATTGTGAATACCATCAGTTACTTATTATTAATTGCTTAAGCCTGTTAACCCCCATAAACTGTAAGCTGCTAAACAGAATTCTCCATCGAATTCTTTCATCGGCGAACCTTTTCTGATGTTATCAAGTATTATTTATCCTTTTCATGTCTGCTTCTAATTCTCGATTCATTGTGCTCTTTGGTCTTCCTCTTTTCCCTTCAGGATTCCAAGTTAGGGCTTGCCTCGTGATGTAGTTTGATAATTTGCGTAATGTATGTCCTATCCATTTCGATTGTCTTTTCCTAATTTTCTCTTCAAATGGAACCTGGTTTGTTCTCTCCCACACTAAGTTGTTGATGACGGCATCCAACCAACTGACCTTGAGTATCTTAAGTAGACAATTGTTTATAGATAACTGTACTTTGCTGATGATGGTTGTAGTAATTCTCCACGTTTCAGCTCCGTACAGTAGAACTATCTTGACGTTTGTATTGAAGATTCTGACTTTGATATTGGTTGACAGTTGCTTCGAGTTCCATATATTCTTCAACTGTAGGAATGCTGTCCTTGCTTTGTCAATCCGTGCGTTTACGTCTGCATCAGATCCTCCTTGTTCGTCGGTGATGCTGTCTACGTACATGAAAGATTCCATATCTTCCAGAGTTTCCCTATCAAGTGTGATTTGGGAGTGTCATCAGTGCAGTTCAATGAGTGGGTTATTTCAGTTAGTCTGACAACAATACCAGAGAACGAAATCGAAAGAATAAAAGATAAAGTATTGGACTACTCACCTTTACGACTATGATAGTTTGGTGGCAAGTCACTCGCGTCCGCTTGTAAACATTCATTCATATCACCTAGGATAACTTCACATAATAGTAAGAGTCCTTCCGGTTGAGATTGTGTCGTAAAACAGTAATTAGCTGATTTACTGACAATATCAGCGAAATAAATACCTTTGCCAAACATATAACCAGTAACTGGAGCGTCAGGCGGTGCAATTCGTAAACCTTGAGATCTGGACATCAAGTAAAAACACAAATAGTAAGTGCGAGAGATTATAGAACATGGTGAATATAGAAATCGATGAAGGTTTAGATACACTCCAATCCAATAATTTTCGTGATGGTTAGATGTTCGTCACAAGACCTGTATGTTCTGAGTTCAATAACTAGAAGGATTGTGGAAGTGTGTTGCTGAGAAGTCCTACAATTGGATGGGACGACTATCTAGTGCTTTCCGGTTTCCACTGGCTGCTTAAATAAGGTCAGTTCGAATTGTAAACTGTAAAACGAAAAATTAGTCTACTCATGTCTGAACTACTTTTATAATGGGAATGGAAGTTAAGCTATGTAAACCGAATTACGTAGCGTTAGAAAAATCTGTGAGGCTATTCAACGAGCCTTTGACCTAGAGGTAAAATGTACAAGGTTTTGAAGAAACGATTAGGAGATGCGGTCACACGGCAGCCAGTGACCAAATATAGGTTCATATGCCATTTGTTTCTTCAAGATCCTGAAGCCCTTGTGCACCAATGGTTCGGAATCAGAGGTTTCCATCTCCTCTAGGTGGATACTCCATACCCAGTGGTAGTTGGAGGTAGTCGACAGGAAACCTTGAACCTAGGTTTCGTGCTATTCGTCACTCATCCCCTGTCATCCAGCTTCACAGTCAGAAGAGTTACCACTGAGTTATCCGGGACAAGAATGAACTCCTGCAGGACTGAGATGTATCTACAATTGAGTGATCACTGGGTAGTGATTAGTGTCAAGTGTATCAGGTCCTCCTGCTACTATACGATTTATTATTATTAATTTATTCCCAATTTATTAGCTACAATCTGTCCTACCCATAGCCAATTTTGGCTTGATTTCGAATAATTATTATTCCTCATTTTATGGTGTGATGCGGTCCGGTCTGTATGTACATAAATTACGTATGTCTGAAATACATTATTTAACCAATGGAGGCTGAGATTGTATTTTGGACTCCATGGGTAGGGCTAAGAGATAGGCTACTATACAGCCGACCAAAAAAGATTCAGAGTCGACTCAAAATTGACATGTCATTGGTTTAGCATAGGGGCAAGGTCACAGAAGTCGATATTCTGATTGACGGTTCTTTCACATGATAATTGATAGACATAAGTTATAAGAAGTTTAGTTTGTTCTGCTTGTATTTTAAGTTGCAGGAGTTGGAATTAGCGCATATATTTTACAGAAGCCATGGTATGAATGATAGCTGAAGATTCAATTTACAAACTATTTTGGCGAACAAAAACTAAACATAATAAATAAAGGACTCAATGATTTTATAGCTGAGATTAGAAAATTTAAAAACAACTTTCGAAAGAAAAGTAAAAAAATAAGCTTACAATATACCCATCCAATTTGTTTGACGTGAACCATGCCATAACAACTGTTTATTATGTTGAGCAATTTTACACTTGGCAAAACGACTATCCTCTCCATCACGATGTACTTCAAAGATATTTAATACTTCGAGTGTATATTGTGTATGTGTAGCGCCATGAGTCTCACGTACATAATCCAAAATCAATTTATAGTCTTCACAATTACTATCTAAAGGCTGTGTGTTTACGCATAGGAATGAAGAAACATACATTCAATTATTTATTTGAAAAAAATCACTATAATTAAGAATAAATTTTATTTGGTCACTTGTATAACTTGACAGATTAATAAAAGTGGTGTGTGTAGGGTGAAAAGTGATCAAGGACTGATTGAAACAAACGGTACTGAGTTCAAAACCCAAAGTGAACAACTATAAGGTGGCAGGTACATTCCACATAGGACGAAACGCGCGTCCACTACTGGTCACATTTCATTTATTCTGTGCCGATAATTGGTTGGTTATTGAGCGGGGATAGACATATCTAGTTATAGTAATTATGTAAGACTATCTTATGTACAAAGCTGATTTCCCGCTTGTGCTCCATTTGATGACTACCTGTATTTATTTATTTATTTGAACACATGAACATTGGTACAAGAGAGCGCCAATATATGCGCCACACAAAACAATGAGAATTCGAAGAGAAATAGAAAAAAAGTAAGGAGCGCAAGAGAAAAAGAGAACAATAACGAAGAGATTGGTGTAAGGTAGTGTGGTAGTAACGACGGAACGAAAAGGTACAATCAGAAGAAATCTTTCAGGTAAGGGAGACACAACCACTTTTTATGAAGAAAGTAAAAGAAGGTTACAGCAGGATCGCCATTGGCTTCTATTCTGAGCCATATCTGATAACGTCTCTAGCCACTGTGTAGCATCATCTCTCGGACCCCAACCAGGGGGTCGTGAAGGACCGACACAAGCCAGTCCTTTGAAGCTTTCTTTCATACCATGACACCATGTCATGAACTGACCACCTCTCCGCTTCTTCCAACCAGTCCCAGAGTCGGCAAATAATGCACGACATGGAATTCTCTGGAACGACTTTCGGAGAACATGTCCAAGCCACCGAAGTCGGTGTTTCAAGATGGTGACACCAATTGAGTTATCATCTCTGTGCCCGAACACACGATGCCGAACCTCTGCATTACTGACATGGTGTTGCCACTGAATGTCAGCAATCCTTCGGAGACAGCGATGATCGAACACAGAAAGTCGTCTAACGTCCTCAACTCGGAGAGACCAGGTTTCACAAGCATAGAGCAGAACTGCTCTCACCGACGCGTTGTAGATCCGGCCTTTTACAGCCAGACTAACATCACGAAGGCGCCAAAGGTGGCCCAGATTGGCATAAGCCGCTCTGGCTTTCACTATTCGTGCATTGATCTCATTACTCACACCCCCACCAGCACTTATCCAGCTACCCAGATACACGAACTTCTCAACTACTTCTATCTGCTCACCATCCAGGGTGAGTACAGGATTGGAATCCTGCCAGTCTTGTAGAAGTACTTTGCACTTCGAAGGTGCAAAGCACATACCATACCTACGGACACTGATTGCCAACTGATTAAGTGCGGATTGCATGCCTTGGGCATTATCGCACAGTAAGACAATATCGTCCGCATACTCAAGGTCGAGAAGTCTTTCTCCAGGCAACAGATCCACACCACCATTACTTACATTCATCAGAGCTGTTTCCAGAATGTCATCGATGGCAAAGTTGAAGAGGAATGGTGAGATTGGGCAACCCTGTCTAACCCCACTGCTCGAATGGAACAATGGAGAGAGGTGGTTGTATGCCCTCACTCTGCCTGAGGTGTTTGTATATAGGGCTTTTAGGATGTTAATAAACTTTTCAGGCACACCCTTCTCCAATAGACAATCCCAGAGAACAGTCCTATCCAACGAATCGAAGGCAGCCCTGATGTCAAGAAACACTACGATTGTTGGCCTTTGATAAGTATGGCGGTGTTCTAACGTTTGGCGGAGGGTGAAGATATGATCAATACATCCTCGACCAGAACGAAACCCAGCCTGCTCCTCGCGAGTCAATCTTTCTCGGGTTTTGAACAACCTACGAAGTATGACGGAAGCCAATAGCTTGGACGCAATCGGAAGTAGACTTATCCCCCGATAGTTGTTACAGGAACGACGTGAACCCTTTTTAAAGATAGAGACAACTATCGACTCATTCCATGACGTTGGTACACTCTCTAGTTCTCAAACCTTTGTAAACAACGTCGTCAATTCCTTAGTCAAAAAGTCACCACCATCTTTAAAAAGAGCCGGAGGTAAGTGATCTGGGCCAGGTGATTTGTAACGCTTCAAGAGTTGGAGTTCCTTGCGGAATTCCTCCTCATTTGGTGGATCAGTCGTCACCGGCCATGGAGGGCAGGACAGTCTGACCGATGTTGCCGGAGCAGCAGGCCAGTTGAACTGCCCTTCAAAAAAATCTGCCCACCGTCCAAGACGTCGATGGATGTTAGTGATTGGCATCCCATCATCCTCGCAGATTGTTTCACTCACACCAGACTTCTTGCTGCCAGTGGCTCGGATGAGTTGGAAGAGCTTCCGGTAGTTACCAGATGCAGCTGCTGCTTCCAGCTCATTAGTACGCTTCCACCACCAGGCTTCTCGGTCCTTACGCAAGCTTTGCCCAATTTCCTTACGTAACATCCTTCGTTTGTGGTCAAACTCACGGTCACCCGGAGTAGACCGACGGGCTTCAATGAGTTGTAAGGAACCAGAAGAAACCCAGTGCTTAAAAGCGGGACGTTTCGCAAACCCACAACTGACTGTTCCCGCCATTTTCATGGCGTCATGCAATTGCAACCAATGCTCATCTATACTTTTCGGTGGAGTGGTAGCTAGCCTAGAGGCTAGCTCGGTTCGACACTTATTTGCAACAGAAGTTGCAACCAGCTTGCTAATATCAATCCGTTGGTGGCGGTCACTTCGTTGTCCACTGAAAAGTAAGGCAAGATTGGCGCAGACCAAGGCATGGTCAGAGTCCAGATAGGTACTCCAAAAGGAGCGGCAGTCTTGTACACAACCACGCCAGCGGTAGCTGATCGCGATTTGATCAATCTGAGTCCAGGCTTGAGATGCAGAGGGAGGACGCCAGGTGGCACATCGGCGAGGACTGTGCCGAAAGTTAGTGCTAGCCAGAAACAGGTTGTGGTCTGTGCAAAGTTGCAGTAGACGGTCCCCGTTATCTGACCTGCGACCAACGAGTCCCCATCGGCCACCTAAACGACTCTCTTCTGTGCCTAGACGCCCGACCTGAGCATTCAAGTCTCCGGCTAGTACTACAATATCTGTCGAACGCACTTTCTGGAGAACTGATAACTGGTGGTAAAACTTATCCTTGATTGCATCCGGGCTGCAATCTGTCGGGGCATAGGCGGAGATGACGAAAAGACATCGTTTCTCACGCCGATTTCTTCTCACTTTGATGGAACTTTCTAATCTAACAGCACATAACCGACTGTTAATGGGGATCCAATCGACTAGTGCTGCCTCAGCTCTAGCGCTTAGTGCGACACCAACGCCAGCAAGACTGGACGAAGATGCCACAGGGTCCCCGGATAAGCGCACGTAAAACAAGCTTTTTGAAGTGACAGATGGAGATCGAATTTGTAATACTTCACCAGAGTCTTGAATACGGGTCTCGGATAGACAACAAACATCAATATTAAGACTTTCCAAAGACATAACCAGCCCTATCTGTTGTCCAACCTGCATAAGTGTGCGAACGTTGAAGGCAGCTAGTTTGAATGGTGCACGTGGTTTCAGAAAAACTGCTTCAGTTCTCGTATTCGGTGGTAACATACAATTTTCAACCGGACAGTGACTCGAGAACGTTTAGATACAGTCGAATCTCCACCAAAGACGAGCCGCTGTATAAGTATAAAAGAGGGTGAATAATGTGGAAAATAATAATAATAATAATAATAATAATAATAATAATAATAATAATAATGACAATACTGGTAATAGTAATAATAATAATAATAATGACAATACTGGTAATAATAATAATAATAATAATAATAATAATAATAGTATTAATAATGACAATAATTGTAATGATAATAATTTGAATCAATTGATTGTTTTTCTAAGCGAGAAAAGTAATTTCCATAGACATAAAGAGTTCATCATTTGTGTGTGGGCTGTAATACTGCCCGGGTGCCCAAACCGAAGCAGGTGGTTCCTTGAACAGTTATTAGACAGTTGAGTCCAGTAGGTTATGTCATCTTTATTCATTCTGTCGACCGAATTAAGTGTTTAGTTGTACCAACCTGATTATCGAGTGATTATTTAGTGTCTATTGTACGATTTTATCAAATGTTACGTTCAGTAAAACTGCTTACTTCTTAATTATATCATAAATGAACGAATTTGTGAACGGAGTTTGATGAATGAAAAAAAACTGGCAAAGTAGCGTCAATAACCAATCAAATGTGACAGGATCATTATTGTGGAAAATTATCCACATATACTCAGAAACTAACTTTAGATGAAGAGCCCATCTGTAGTCAAACATTTTTAGTCTACGTAATTTAAAGAGTAAAAGTATGATATACTGACATCCCTGAGTTAATCAATCAGAATCAAGATAAATTCTCATGGATTTTGTGAGGATTTTTAAGTGCAATGATAGGTAACTTTTGTGTTCAGTCAGTGAGTAACAACGTAGAACTTCGTACGTACGTACATCAGTTCAAGTTGCCATACCACATAAGCACAGAGATACGATTGTCAATTCTAACTAACTTGTGTGTTGATATTAACTAGATGAAAATTGACAATAATTGATTTTTAGAATGATCGAAAACAATAAAAACATCTATTATGCTACCCAAGTGTGAATTTAGAACGTTGCTCGAAATAAATGAAAAAAATATATCTACTTCAAAGGCAGATTACATGTTAACGTACATAATGTGATCCGATGCGTAGTCAAGTGTTTTTATTTATTTGAACACATAGATATTGGTACAAGGAGGCATCAAATACATATGCGCCACACAAATCTCATTTAATTTGTGTGAGGGCTGTGGTACTGCCCAGGTGCCCGAACCGAAGCTGGTGGTTTTCTTAGAAGGCCACACCCGGAACTTTCGACCTAAAGGTCTGAACCATAAGGCAGTGGAACGACGTCAGGAGATGCAGTTCCATGATAGCCGATAACCAATAATTGGTTAATAAACCATGTTCTTTCGGGATAATGGAGCCCATGTACACCATTGATTTGAAATCAGGGTTTTCCAACTCTCCTAGGTGGATTCTCTGTGTCCACCAACCCGGTTTGCTTTTCGTCCTGTCAATTTCGCAAACACTCCTGCCACGAGAAGGCAGTGAGTAGGACTTCCATGGCAGAGGCTAAATACGCGTGGACATGTGAGAGCGTTTAGAGAGGGAGAGCCGACTCTCCTCACTCTCGGCCGTATCAGGGTAATTGGGGGTGTTAAATGAAACTAAATTCTATTCTCCTTTCCAACTTTCTCTATAAATCTCAACCCTATGTTTGTAAGCAACAGGATGGTAAAGCATTACATTATGACTGACATCAGTTTGTGATGAAAATCCTAATTTTAAATTCAGATCAAAACTCTAGCCCTACTCTTAACACTTAGTTCTAGGCTTTTTTGCATAATAGCCCTAACTCACAACACTAGCCCGACACTCCTAATACGTAAACTTGACCTTTTTTCCTTTACCACATAAACAGGAACGTGACTGTGTTCCAAAACAAAACATTAAGTTAACAAAGTTGGTGTTACCATAAGAATATTCTCAGTATATTTACAACTTGTAGACAGGAACGTTCTAGAGTCTTCCCCATTTATCCGCTAGCGCTGACTAGGTTAAAAAACCGCCCAATCAGAGTACTCTAATGTGACTCTGCATAGACCATAATTTAATCCAATCTATGCCCTGCCATATATCATAAAGGAAAGCCAATTGAAAAACAGGAAATATGAATGAATGATTTCTTTTACTACGAATGGGTTTTAAAGTTTCGGATTTGAGATATATGGTTACAGTTAGGACTAGGATTCAAGTTTAACATTGGGATTTAAAAACAGAATAATGTTCTACGACTAGTTTATATGTTCCATGAATCCAAAATCTTATTTTAACGTTGACTTGTTATATATTTAATGTCGTTCTCGTAATTTAAGTTAATCATCTAAACACGATAGACAATATAATATTTTGATGTATGGACCTTGTGACCTTGAAGCCACTTTGCTTGTCCCTCTGAATGACTTTTATTTGTAAGTCAATTGCACTGTGAAACACCCTTGGGATTGAGTGCCGAACAGTTTTTTTATTAAGATAGGACTATCGGTGAATTTGAAAAAACAGAATGACCTAAAACCTTCCAGTTTGTGAATATTAAAGTATTCATTAGCAGTTATGATCTATGCGTTTCTTAAACGTATGCTAACATTAGATTACTTGTCACAGTTAGTCACTGGACAAATAACAGGGTCACGTAAGTAGTAACCTTATTAATTTGTGGAATCATTACATTGAATTCAGTGAGTATGACAAGGTTCATCTATTTTTCAGTAAAGTGTATAGGTCCAAAATAAAACGGGCCTGTTCATCAATACAAACATAAAGTTATCATTGAATATAAACCCTAAGATGGATTGATTATTCTATGAGCTGCAGTGATTACAACTACCGTAAATTTGGTTTCAAATATACACCGAATAATCTAGTTGAAAGGATTTCGTGGAGTTCTGTAGATCGTATCCGCCACATATGGGTCCCAGTCACTGAGTATATCGTTGCTATCCTCGTGTCTTGATAGGACCAATGTAGATTGAAATTTTCAGTCATTGTGTTTATAATAATGGTCAAAGAGTGAGTTTTTGGTCATATAGACAGAAAAGAAAGCGATTAGTAACATCAATAATTAAATAACACGGTCACTCAGGTAAAATAAACAAGAGAATCCAGGTAACAATATTTCAACTCACCTCTAATTTAGTATGCAACTGTTCATAATGCTCTTCCAATGGATTACGTTTAGAATCTCCTTTAGTTTGTAGCATTTTATAAGCTAATTCAATTTCTAACAGATCTTCTAACATGCGTATTTTCTTGGTAATAATTTTCTTATTATCTAACATTGGTGGTGTTTTGAAACCGAAATCATGCGGGATCAATGTATAGAAACGTGTAGATTCACTTAGTATTTGTGTTCGATCCAATGTTTGAGATTGTTGTTTAGTAGAAGGACGTGAACTAACAAGTTTACTGAGAGAATTCAATACATCATAAGCTTCATGAATTTGATTACTAGACAGTTTACCCAAAGGCATTTTTCTTAGATCAAGCTGAAAACATATGAATTTGGAAGAAAAAAGTAAATATGTTTGATGAAAATATCGAAAATACGATAATTTAAACAAATTAGACTTCTCAAAAGACTTGAAAATTCTTTTCTGAGTAATATTGAATATTGTCGAGGAGTTCCACTAAACTAGTGTGATCAGACAACCACACTGAGGTGACATGCTAGAAATGGTGTGGTATTTTCACGACCAACGGCTTTCAATACACTATTCCGTCTTCGGGAAAGTAACATGAACGGAAATGTTGATTGTTCGTGGAAAACACTCAGATGTTACTATACCCTAGTATAAATGGCAATACAACTTTGTCCTCAAGCCTAATATTTACAACCAACATGTTTGGGATAGTAGAGCTTCAAAAAACAGCCAGTGTATTGCGATTAAAATTCTAAAATATCTAGGGTTTTGTATGCTTAAACACAGTTGATCTTGTTCTCATCACAAAAATGAAATAACCAATGAAAGACAGTGATGTATCAGAACCAAGACTGAAGAAATATCAGCTCCTTGGAAATATTTGATGGACTAATATCTATATATATATATATATATATATATATATATATATATATATTCCGTTTATCGTAAGCTTTTGTTTAACCCATGAAATGTTGTTGCTCATTAGCACTTTTGGTTTGTCTATCCATGATTGTAATTTGGCAATTTATGGGGGGATGTGGTCCAGTTTATATTTGCATACAAACCCACCTGTGTTTAAAATATGATATAACATTAGGCGGCCACTGACTACTACTGGAACTCTAGGTAGGGAATGGAGAAAAAGCTTGTGGATAGTAGACCAATAGGAGCTTTAGCTTGCATCGGCTTAAGGTTAAATGTGTTAGACAGGAAGCAGAATTCGTCAAGTCTAAGTCTATGATAATAGGTTATAGACGGAAACAGTAGACGAGAGATAGAGAATATTATGACCAGAATTCGAATTGACGACTTTAGCATGTAATATAGATTAGCGCCATAGGATATAACTAGCGGGTAAAGGAAAATAACAGTGAAGAAATAGATCACCTTCCTTTCTTTAACAACAAAGAAATTAACTCACTTCAAACTCCGCCATTGTTTTTTCCATAGATTTAACATCACAAATAAATTTTAAGAGCGATTGTAGAGCCGGGTGTAGTTTACATGGTATATTACTGATAGTTTGAATTTCATTCTTCTTTGACTGTAAAACAAAAACACATGGATTAAAAGTGTATGATTAGGTTCACATCAACGTAAGTAATATAGATGAAATCTTAGCATAACGTCTTTATAGAATACGAATTACGAATAGGTTCGTCAATGAACTGGACTTGCGTAATCACGGTTTTGTTGGGTTTTATTGTTTTTACGACGGTCAGTGATAAAAGGGACTCTCCAGAAGTGTGCATACACGATCCTATACTAAGACGAAACGACCAACCAGTTCAGTGATTCCAGGTTTTCAATGACAATCTAGCTAAGATCAGATAGTGACTTAAAACTCTAAAAATTCTAGTCTTTACAGATCCTCCTTACATTAATAAAATCTTTATTAGCATAAGAATGGCAATTTATTCAGTGATTTGAAAGAAGCCTCCAAACATTGTTTCTACTCAGGGTCAAGTATTCAGGACAGGGGCTAAGGAGTTTAGTGTGGGTTTTCAAAGGAATCGATATCGACTACAATGTAAAATTGCTTTCGATAAGTAAACTACATGTTTAAATCCAAGAAACTTTGTTCGATTAGCTCGTCCAGAAAGAAAAGAGTACCACTAGGTTAAGAGTTGTTTCACCATTAAATGTTTGGGATTAGCATTCAATTGTAATATCAACTTTCCTGTGATATACAACCTACAAGGAAAAACTTCAGTATTTGATACGTTTAACGCGGCAAACAGCGGCAAAAGTTAGTTTTTCGCTATCATTTCAAATACTTTAAGCAGTATAATGACAGTATTTTTATTCCTCGTTATCCCAGATATTTCAATTTTACGGGGAAACCTAGAATCAAGTGGGAAGTCAATAGTTCAGTTAACATGTGACATACTTAACAAATATGTTGATCCAGGTTCAAGAAGAAACCTTTCTTTTCATAGAATGCTTCAGTTAAACATGCTTTGTAATGACAGGGATAAAGATTGAAATCATTCAATTTCAAACATATTGGAAGTGATCTTTTCATAAAAATCAGAGGAATTAATATTGACTCATTCTAATTTAACATTTTTTTCTTTAGTTATATTTCCGTAGTTTTTCGTAGAACGGTTACATCAATTCCAACAGCGTTTCAAACACATACATCTCAAGAATATTGGTGTAATTAGACTGATGATATACGCGAGTGAAATATATATACTCAACTGAAGTAATGGCAGATGATACTACAATCTATTAGGAGTAATCAATAGAAATAGTGATCTCCAGTTTTCAGTAGTAAGGATAGGAGGTCTACCGACCTATATTAATCCTTGTGGTTCGTAACACTATGGAGGTCCAATCTCGTTTTAAACATATCTAAAGAGGTTTGGGACTCTTCAATAGTGTGTATTCACAGTCTCCCACTGGATCAAACTTAAAACTTTCAGGTTTACGAGGTGATATAATTAAGCAGATCTTGATACGATCATTGAAACATTTGCATTAATCGTCAATAAATACGATTTTTACCTTTAAAACTTTATTGACCTACAAAATATTAGATAAAGTATGGTCTATGACTGTAAAGAACTCATATTTAGAACAAATACTTTACTCTTTACCAACTACATTATTAAACAATCCAAAGCTAAGATCAACAATATTGATTAAATGATTTGTGCTGATCAGTTCAATAACAAAACTGATTACCTAACTGGGTTGATCCAACCACATGATAATATGAGTGTTAAAACTGGAGTAGAAAAATCTCTATTTCATTGACCGATGACTTAAAATATTGATTTGCACTTTAGCCGGTTCCTTTCAAGAAGTAATTAAGATACATTTGGTAAGCCGCTGAGTTCGTAGCGTGACAACGACTCCGTGAACCCATTGTTATTCCATCGTACTTATGTTTTTTTAAAGGAAAACAACTATGTTTTTGATTGAGGTAGTTTTCGGGAGATTGGTTTAATTTGTAGATTGTATTCATCACAGACTGATCTCCATTAAGGTACCATTGAGAACTAGAGAAAACTATTTGGCTCTAGCATGGGACTACTCTCAACAGTGTTCCCACAACCTCTCCAGGAACAGAAAGCAAGGACCTTCAGGTCACTCAACGAACATTTACTCGTAAGAACTATTGAGTCGGTATACAGTAGCACAGACTCATCTGCAATCAATCCTCAAAAAAGTGAAGCGACCACTCACTGCCAATAGCGACAATGGTACCCCGCTTGTGATCAACCTTATAGGCCGTATCTTTGATTTCCATTTAATAATCAAAAGAAAAAAGAAAAAATATAACAGTTCACTTACAGAGTTATAATCTAATTCTAACTCATAGAATTTATGTGGCATTTTACGAAAGTTTTTACGATCCTCCCATTCATTGCCAGTTTTTTCAAAATAAATCTCTTTGAATGTTGAACGAGCTGAAGTGGCATTAGGAAACGATTCAATTTTAGTGCCACCAATCGATGTACCAATACGACCCCATGCGCGAAATACCCAACAACGTGATGATTTATCAGACTGAAGCGCTTGAAGTCTGTAGTGGAAAGGAGGATGTTATTATTTGGAAAAAAAACACAATTGTTCAATAATTTATAGTGGATGAGAAAAAACGGATATATTGATGAGGGATATTAGGAAATGTAACCAGCACAAATGATCATATGGAGTAGGATACTATGGACAATATTATATACAACTGTAGTGCTTTAATATAGAAAAAAACTGTATATCAGACGACATAATCACAAAAAATATATAACACTAATACATTTTTTGAATGAATTAGAATAATTCACTTCAGTCAGTTAATCATAAAGAAAGTAGAACCTGGGACATACATATATATTAGTTCAATTTGGCAAATTATATATGTACAACGAAATGAGATGACCACGTTTCGCAGCCGTAAAGTAGAACACAAAGAACTGCTACACGCTATACTTGTCCCTTAATTGACTGACGGATATCTCACCTTCACCATACGTAACGTAAGCTGGCAAAAGTCGAACGGGCTTTTTGAACTCGTGCAGAGATCTAGCCAGACACCAACCCATTAGAGCTGATCAAACTTCCAAGATAAGTGAAGTTATGGATGAGTTCGAATACTTCACTCACTATCCTTAGTTCAGACGTTGACGCAGGCCAGTCCTGAAACACTTTGCATTTAAAGGGGAAGAAACGCATTGTTGCTCGGTGCTACCAAAAGACTCTGTATTTTATCAGCGTTTTCACCAAACAGGATTATGTCATCTGCGTATTGTAAGTCGGTAAGCGGACATCCTGGAAGGAGATCAATGCCCGGAAATACGGTCGACGAGGAAGTTATTTCTAGCAGTAGGTCTATGATGAAATTAAACAGAAATGAGGACAGTAGACAACTTTGACGGACACAACTTGAGGTTGCAAAATCACATGACAGTTCGCCGTATTGATAGTGTTCGAGTAAATAGCATTCACTTCAGAGGTACACCTTTCAATGACAGACACTGTCACAGAACCTCTTAGTCAACAGAGTCAAATGGTGCTTTTAAGTCACGAAAAAACACTGTCGGACGCCGAGAAGCAAACCTGTGTTCTAAAATCTGAAGAATGGTGAAGATGTGGTCGATGCAGCCACGACCAGGTCTGAAGCCAGCCTGGTTTTCTAGTACTTGCAGTTAGCTCACAAGTCTGTTAGGCGTCCGATAATTGTTGAGGCTAAAATTTCAGACGCCATATTAGTCAAACTAATCCATCTACGTTATCACAGGATGATTTTGATCATTTCTCATATATCGTACAATCTAAAGACAAGGTATTTATTAAAAGATGGCAACAGCTTGTGCATACACTTTCTCTTACTAATGAGACGCAAGAAACAGTCAAGCAGTAGTGCATTTGTGCAGTGAAGCAACACTATTGATGACGATATAGCAGATAAGATCAATCTATGTATAATGAAGATAGGACGACTTATAACAATTTGGGTCATTTTCGAAGACGTTATAATTGTCAACCTCGTATAATGAGACTAGTTATGCAAGTTTACAGTACAGTAGTCGTGCCATGCCTACGTTAAAAACTTGGTCTCTTTGAACAAAGGATGTTTTCAACCTTCATTATCTTCAAATGTTTGATTACGTACTGTAGCATCAACATACAATTAGGCTGAAAATTGGTAACACCTGTTAGGGTACAGTGAAGACGTTTTATACATGGGATTCGTAATGAGCATTCTTATTTGAAGCTGGAACAAATGGAAAAAAGCGAAGCGATTGTTAGTTTATGATATGACACCACTAGTCAAACGATTATTTGAAGTTGGGAAACAGTAAACTATGGAAAGCCATAAGTTTGCTCATTTAAGTCTGATTATAGTTGTATTTTTATGACCTTAAAGCGATGTTGGACACCATTGAATGAGAGACTTAGTGACACAGTATTTGTGATTAAAAGGTGTACGAGGAAAATATTTAAACCTTGAGAAGGTTCTTTACCCGATTACTAGTGGTGGAGTCTATAGAGAGTTTTCAACCCCAAGTAGTGTTCGTCAGGATTAATCACTAGTTGTACAGTCAACAACGTCTATTAAGAAATCACAGGCTTCTTGTATGTATAGGGCCATCATTCAGAAATAATTACATTGAACCTTCTGTCGTAATCTTGATAAACAGTAATATGTGCTTTCACGAGAAAATTGAAGTGACACTATAACTTACACGCGCGCACACGATCAACAAAAAAATGTATTACACAAATATATCTCTACACTTACTTGTAAAATGAATTGGAACCTTTGATTAAATCAACCATACCGAGTACAGCAGTCATGAATTCTCCCTTCTCATCTTTCAATACTGTGGCTTTATTGACCAGTTCTGATTGAGGATCGACCACTGCACCATTTTTCATTATCATTCGCATCATTTCTTGTTCACCGTTATCATCATTCAATAGTAAATTTTTCACCTCTTTCTCAACTATATAGGTAAACAAACATTAGGACAATATTGGCAGTTGTGTGATCGTTTAAAAAAAGATATTGAAGCCTAGATTGAGTATAACTTAATATGTATATTATGCGAAGGACCTAGCATACTATTTTATGTAAGGTCAACACTAAAAGGATAATCAAAACGGAATGGTGAAAGTGTACTACACTGACAAACCAATCAGATTAAGGATCGAGGCTACTGAATTTTGCACAGAGTTCGAAGCGTGAAGTGCCCCAAATGCCCTGGTACGGCCGAGGGTCGGGATAGTGAGGTCTTTCTCTCTTAATGCTCTCACATGGCCATGCGTATACAGCCACTACCAGGGAAGTCCTACTCATCGCCTTCTCGTGGTGGAGGTTTACGAAATTGAGAGGATGGAAAGCGAATGTCTGGCGCTTCAACCGGGTTGGTGTATATGGGGGGTCCACCCAGGGAAGCTGAAAAATTTTGATTCCAAATCAATGGTGCATATGGGCTCCAGTATCCCGAGGGAACAAATGGTGTATGGACCAATTACTGGTTACCGGCTATCATGGAACTGCATCTCCTGACGTTGCTCTACTGCCTTGTGCATCAGACTTTCAGGTCGAGAGTTGCGGGTGTGGTCCCCTAAGAAAACCACCAGTTTCGGTCTGGGCACCCGGAAAGTATCACAGCTCACACGCAAATCAAGCGACTTGTGTGGTGTATATGTATTCAGTGCCATTCTGTACCCATGCTTATGTGTTCAAATAAATAAACACTAATCGTCAACAAATACGATTTTCACCTTTAAAACTTTATTGACCTACAAAATATTAGATAAAGTTCGGTCTGAGACTGTAAAGAACTCAATTTAGGACAAATACGTTGCTCTTTACCAACTACATTTTTAAACAACCTAAAACTAAGATCAGTTGATCCTTGTTGTATACAGTACAGTACGACACGATAATTAGAGATATCTTTTTTTTTCATAGTTCAGTCAACTTTTTTTACACAGACATATATAACATGACTACTCCACTTGTCACACCTTAGATATTTGAAGTTTGGTACAGGTCTACAGAACTTGAGATTTAGTAAACAATCGAGCTAATATGAACGATTTTTGTGAACTCAATAGTGGCAGCAGGGACAAAAATTTATTTTTTATTTATTTGAGCACATAAACAATGGTACAAGGGGGCACCAAATACATATGCGTCACATAATAACAATGAGGCCAGTGGCAATTATTATTGATCTGTGTGAGATCTATGATACTGCCCAGGCGCCCAAACCAAAGCACGTTACAGGGACAAAGAACAATCCAACCATTAACCGCTAACAATAGGAGAAAACGAAATGTAGAAATTTTGATATTTAGGTAAAAGAACTCAAAGTGATTTAACTCAGTATATATGTAGTAATAAGAACATGAACCTGAGACATACATAAAATTAGCGGACCACAAATTACTGAAAAACCAATCAGTAAAAAAGAACAGACCAAAGATCATGTAAACAAGATTTAGAATTTCGAAAAAAGAAAAGCGATTGAAGTTACCGTTATTATTAGTAAAACATTATTATCAACACACAAAAAAGAACTAAGTAATCCGTGTGATTGTTTTAGCAATGCCCAACCCACTTTTTTCTTAATAACACCAGGTTAAAACATTCAAAGGTTTTGTTTAGTAAAACAAAATACATAAAAATCAATGCATCAAGTAATCCATTAAAAAGACCATATATAAATATATATTTACTTTTTAATGCACGAGCCTTCCGGTAAGAACAATCCCAGTAGTTGTAATAATCCATAGAGAAGGAAAGAAAGTAAGGGATGTAAAAAAATGTATACTGGATTTAATATTCTAATATGTCAGTAAGTAAAATTCGCCTAGTTGATATTTCAGCTATACTATGCAACATCTACAACCATGATCGATCGAGAGAATCCTAACTTGATAGTTTGCACTAACCAACTAACCAACCAACGCAGCTTAGTTCAATAGTCAATGACTTTATGAACTGAAATAAAATAGTTGGGACATGTATTACGTAGCATTAACCAAATCACCTAACTTAACATGATATCTGTTGATATAAGAATAGATTGGAAGAAAGCTAGGGGAAATTTTGATTTGGTCGCCCATTCCCCCAAGCTTCCTTTCAATCTATTCTTATATTGACAAAAATATCACGTCGAGGTACGTGTTGTGGTCAAGGCTACGTAGTACATGTTCCAACTATCTTATTCAATAGAGATTTACTGCTTAATCAACTGATTCATCATGTTTATTTAGCAACATGCATGTAATCTCAACAGGGCTTACTCTCAGTGATCCAAACATGCACTACATATGCATCAAAGTTATCTATGATCAAATACTAATAGCCCATTTTTAAAAGCCACAATCCACAGTGATGTAGTAGAGCAGAACAAATTGATGCGCAGTATGCTCGTCAGGCAGATGGACATCTTGCCTACGCCACAAGTGAGTCATGCTAATAAGAGCAAAGCGAGCTATGCAAACCGGTTACTCACACTTTCCAAATCATATTTCTTATGGTTAAGACGAGAGATTTGTGGAGACTAATCAATTTAAAGGATAGTTTACATCATGGACTGACTAGATTTGGTTATGAACAGTTATTAAAGACCAAGGAGCACCGAACAACTATTTTTAAACGAACTGTGACTTATCAGAAGTGTATGCACCTACAACACTATCACTGATTGAACCCACAACCTTGGAGTTTTGCAGCGGCCATGTTTTTTACTAATTAATCACTAAAATTATAGTGCACAATGGGTGCTAATGTACAATATCATTTAATGTAAATAAACAATTCCTATTAAAAAAGAAAACAACACCAGAGACAACCACTGTGTTTTGATGTTTGAATACGCGTCTAGTGTACATACCTTCACCTCCCAATTGGATATTGTATATTTGGCTAAGAGTTGCTGGATTTTCGATTCCAATTTTTTAGAGTCCAAACTGTTAGGATTGAATTCTGATAAGAAGTGTTCATTAATGACACGTAAACCGTAAGAACGTGCAGTTGTCAGAGCTTCTTTCGAGTAAGTTTTATTCGTATCATTATTATCACTTTGAATTTGTTCCAATTCGTTCAATGTGGAGACAACAATTGAATTAACACTGAGCTACAATGCGAGTAATAATAATAATAATAATAATAATAATAATAATAATAATAATAATAATAATAATAATTATTATTATTATTATTATTATTATTATTATTATTATTATTATTATTATTGTCATCATCATTATAGGATTCCCACAATTTTTAATAAGTGATCGATTAATACACAAAAATCAACAGGTTTATACGAAAAATCAAGCAGTAGAATAGTGAATAGGTTCAGGAATTAAAATATATGCGGTTTAGGTGGATGGCTTTCGGTAGTATTTTGTCCGACATAAATGTGGCTAGGAACAAAAGTTCAATATTTCTCTAGATTATAGAAACTCTAAGAATTCAAGAGAATACATGAAAGTACAACATTCAGACTGACAACCAATTGATAAACATCTAATACATTAAACCGTACGGTAGAGATCAAGGATATGATCGGAGGTCAACCGAACTAAATAGTCAACTTGAATACTAGAAGAAATAAAAAAACGAAACCTATGAAGATAGTCAGTCACAAAAAAGACCATTAGAACGAACTAGTCCAACAATTGAGACAACATTAAGAAGTACACTTGTACATGAAGTAGGCGCCGATGTTGTCCAGAAAGAAAATGAAAGCTATACAATTAAGTCGTTTAGTTCAGAAGATACAATACCACTAAAACTGAGAAATATTATTCAAGAGAAAAGGATTAGCTAGAAAATCTTTGTTGACTGACTTGAATAGCATATATTTACTACACACAAAGGTAGAGGCTGGTTGAATCAGATGACTTTCAAACAGTAGTACTTCGTAGATCCGATTTATGTGTTTATTTAAACAAATAAATGTTGGTAGAAAAATTAGCATCAAAATATGTATGCGCCATATGATTAAAATTACATCGTGAAAAGATAGAGAAAGGAAGGTAATCATAGTAATTTTAATAGTTGAGATCATGAGTCAGTTGAAGCTAGACTACCATGGGAAACCTGGAAGTACTGGACGGCCGTTCCGTCCTATTGTGGGACTGTTCAGCAGTGCGCATCCATGATCGCGCCTTGCGAGATTCAAACTCAGGACCTATCACAAATTCAGTTAAACTTATGTCAATAAATGTTAATAGAGAAATAAAGAAGTCATGATGAACAACGGAAGCTAATGTTTTTTGCGGGGGGGGGGAGAACATCACTTAATTTAATGTTTGTAAAATACTAAAACTTAGTTTTGTCACTGATTTGTTTTATAAACCATAAGCTTTCGTTTGATGTATAATTCATTCCCATACTCTTTTCTTTTCCAAAGTTATTGTAATTTAAACGTAATCCTTTGTATCACATTTTTCTATTGTGATGTCTAAGTTTGGTTATAATTGAATTTTTCCATAAGTTTGTGCGCTGTGGTCGTGTTAGTCAGCCATTTATTTACACATCTTCTTACATTAATCTGAATTAGGAATAAATAGAGTAGTGTTCCAGTTGACTTATCTTCTCTTTCTCGCTTGTCAACTAACAAGGACATAGAAAAGTTTTCATCTCTCTGACCAAGGTCGTTAGTCTCAATTCGAACTCAAAAAAATTTCAAACACAAGGTTGAACCAGTTAACTTATCGTGTCAAGGCCTTAACATAGATGGAGACAATTTCTCTCCTGTATATTATTGGAGAAACCGGTCAAGGTTGTAACATCAATTGAAAAATGGGTTTTCTGTTTGCTTGATGCGATAAATCACTCCATCAACTCTGCTGATGAAATGGAAGACATATAAATGTCAACAGTATCATCGATTATAGTGTCAGATAAATATTTGCATACGTTGTTCACTAAATATTTCCTAGAAGAAATAGTGATAATATTAAGGGGAGCTAAGTTTTAGAAAGTTATCTGTTGAACTAAATCTGAGTGCTAAAGTTATACAAAATTCATTTAACAAAGTAGTTTAAGCTATAGCGACTTTGTGATTATCCTTTTACACCAATATACTTGTATTATTTCCACCTGTATTCAAAACACTCCTAGAAGTCACAAACGTCAGGTTATTTAGCTGCCTTATCGTTTTACTTTTCTTCAACATCAAATACTTCCATTGGAATCCCGAGCTGATCTAAGTGAGACAACTACCGAAAACGTAGAAGTATTTGATGGCGGTTCCGTTCTAGTATGGGATACCATAACAGTGTGCATCTGTGACTCCACAATAGGGAATCAAACCCAAGAACTTGATTTCGCGTACAAACCTGAAGAGTTCCATACGCTGACCAAACGACCGTCTAGTGCTTCCAGTTTTTAATGGTTATCCAACTTAGGTAGGTTTGTGACCAATGAAATGCAACAACCTCTACAACCCTATCCTTACGACCAAATATTTTTTTCAGAATTATGTATACAAACTCGATAAATTCGTCTTATTAGGACAGTTTCAAAGCAGCAGGAAAACATGATACGATAACAAATATCCGATGTTCCCACAATACAGAATGCCGATGATCAGGTTGGATTTTCATCACCATCGCAGTTTTCACGGACTACGCTGAAAATCTTGGTTCAATTGAAAAGTGCCTCCTTTTACTACTAACTTTGTTAAGAAAAACCTTCGACGTTACATGAATTTCTTGATAATTTTTCTTAAGTTACAGTATCCTAGCATCAACAGATAATGTAGATTTGTTAAGCGAATACAAGCCCCTGTACTAGATTTTAATAGTATGATAGAGTATAGGTATACCATGTACCTGTGTCTAGTTTTCGACTTAAGAGATCAAACAACATATGAGGAAATACTGACGAAACGGGCCACCAGAAGACGTCGATTATTCTTCTAGTCAAGATCTCCAAACTACGTACTTGTTTGAATCAGGGGATATATATATAATTTATGTAGATTACACTTCTGCTTGATAATAGTCTCTCTACTAATTTCACTCTTCTCATTTGCTTGGCAGGTTCGGGTTTTTTATAGGAAACCCATGTCGTAACATGATCTGATTTGACTACAGAACGTCTTGTTTTGTATGAAGACCAAGGATACTATCCCACTGTTCAAATAGAAGTAAGCGGACTGAAATTGAACCTTAAACCCGAAGGATGATATGCATACATATATACATTTGAATGTTCAAACCTGTATTGGCACTATCTTTCTCTAATATTTTGTGAAAAACAAGAAACACAACAACAATAAAGAATGACATAAGCAGTTAAAGTGCATACCTTACTCATAATAGCACCACCTAGATTGGCCAATTCACGTATTAATTGTTCTTTTGTTTTTCCGCTGTCGAATGGTCCATTTGTAATGTAGAAAAACAGGCCAGTTAATGGACCAGTAACATCAGACACTGAATCAGGTGGAAATAATCGTGTACGCTTAACATATTTGTAATTTTTTCTGGTTAAGTTGAAAAACAATGGAAGAAGAGTCGATTGAACCAACAAATGTATACAAAATAGAAGTATTTTTGGTGAATCTAAGCGAAACAAATGAAACCAATTGTAAAGGGGTTTAGAGCTTTTAACCATAATATTGCAAATGCGAACCCTGTGCACCGAATTCATTTCGGGCAATCACATAGTATTATTATTATTAAACGACGCAAATCAAGATTGTTGCTCGAATCTGAAAATCTAAATCTTTATTTCACCATAACTTATCACGCTATCAACAGTACATTTAGTAGTTATGTATTTATTCTCAGAAGTAAACTTCAGCCCTCTTGGTCTACTGTTATCGGACCGATCTACTGGGAATAATACATAATAATGGATAAGTATTCGGGCTAATATGGTTTGATCAACGAGTTAGTATGACAGGCAAGCAAGAGTAATGTATTGAGGACTGGTTTGGTCATGGAGCTTCCATCGTTATTCTGAAAGACATCATCAGCACAAACTTCAGATAGAAGTAGTGTTCTGATTTCTCCACATGGTTCACAGCTTGTCCTGTAAACCTCGATCTTGATTGGTTATTGCTGACGTTTAACCTGACATTGTCTACTCCTTTATTTTGATTGTATCTCCTAATGATTTGATTGTCGGTCCTATATTTGTCCATAATTTTTCTGATTGGTTGATAAATTGAATCGATTTCAATGTCTTTGTTGATTGACCTGAGTGCTAAGCTCCTAAAAATTCTATGGCGTTTTTGGAATTGCCTCTACCCAAGATCTCAACACTTTCCCAGTCGAATGTATGTGCACAGTTGTCTACATGCATTAATATAAGCGAGAATATGTCATGGCGTTTGACCGCTAATTCGTGTTCGTGCAGGTGAAGATGAAGAGGGTGTTGTCCATTGTAGTGTTTTTCGCAGTTGGAACAATTTGTTTTGTAGATGATGTTCGGCTTTTCTTCCTTTGTCATTTCGGCCTTTGGTTTGAATAGGATTGATTAAAGAGATTTTGTTGGTTTGTGTGCTACACCTATTCCAAAAGGCTTCAACAACGTCGTTGTTATTTCTGATATGTCTTTTGTATATGGTAGGATGATTCATTTGTTGTTTTCTGTACTTGATTTTGTTTCTGCTGATGCGTTTGGTTGATATTTTTTGGTGAAGTTGATTGGGTAGCTGTTCTTCAAAAGATAGTCTTTAGATATTTTTGTTCATTTTTCCGCGCCGCAAGTGTGTCCTCGCCCTCTTGAACAAGAAGGTAGTGAGTAGGGCTTCCCTGGCAGTGGCTGTATACGCGTGGCCATGTGAGAGCATTTCGAGAAGGAGACCTAACTCTCCCGACCTTCAGCCGTACCGAGGCACTTGGGAGCCCCTATGTGGAGAAATTCGAACACTTCACTTCTACCTGCAGCTTGTGCTGATGATGTCTTTCAGAATAACGATGAAAGCTCCATGACCAAACCAACTAGCTCAGAGAACAAAACTCTACCAAAAACTGTAGATAGGTTCCTTCTGATGAGTATCAAGTAGCGTGATTATGGGCTTCCTGTAAATCACCGCTAACCACTCAACACATCGAAATCTGTTTGTTCGTATCTACATATTACATAATAATAGCTTTTTTAAAGGGAATTGATCTACTGTTCCTTCCGTTTTTAATTGCTGAATCACTTATTATATTTCATTCTTAGCTTTTGGTACTTTATTATTTAGCTATTTATCTACACAGATGTTCTCTGTAATAAAATTTTTACACCAAGAATGTTAATAGTTTTGTCGTAAAATGCGACCCCTTTCCCTTCTTACTTGTGCAAATATTACGTTGGTTGTATTGTAAATATGACTGGTTACTTAATGACTATGAAATTGATGGGTTTAAAACGGAACTGATTTTACAGAATATCGTTGCCATGGTGCCAAAGGTAGCGCAATATCGACATAAAAACAACCTTGGATCTTACAATATGAAGATTGATCATATATAACCTACAGTGACAGATAATGTCGAAACCTGGGACAAATATTTGTCGGTGCGGATAAATCAACCTCACTGATGTGTACGTTACTTTGATGACACATTTCAAGATGGTATAACATAACGTTAAAATGAGAAAGCCCAAATTCTAGTTCAAGTGAATTGTAATTGTATCTCAGTTACTTTGTAATATATGTAGGACATCCAAAGCCATACTACACAATACATGGATTAGAGATTATATTTTACAGTGCTGTTACGTGAATTTACTTTTTAAGATGTAGAAATCAAATTTGACTATTGGATTGTTTATACCATCAATGAAAATAATAAACTTACAAAAAATCAACATCATGATATTCCTCAGGTATTTTAAACTTTCTTCGATCAGGTGTCCGTGTATAATAAAGGCATTGAACCCATTCAGTTGCCATAGCACTACATTTAAACTGTCCATTACTATAATGTAATGGTCCATTTTTACAACTAGGACAATATGGTAGAGCACCGAATATCATAGCGTCAGCAACTGCATCTAATAGACGAGATAATCCAGATGGAACATGTTGTTTATTGTATTCCAATAAACCAATTAATGCTTCTTTGGATACTTGACTTTCTAGTTTATCTCTTAAACTCCATAATAATTTATTTTGTTTACGTAATTCATCCTGGGATACAATAAAACAATAAGCATTTGTCAATATATATATATATATATACAGAGAGAGAAAGGGTTGGTGTCTAAATTGAAGGCTGCAAATTACAACTCCGTTTGATTTACTTCGTTTCGTGCAACCAGTTAATATCTTTAACCCTTATACAGTAAATGTGACTCACTGCCAAGTTAATGAATCTGTACTAGTAAAACTTATATTAAATCAGTAGTAATCGTATTGATTAAATAAAAGAATAGTCAATTCATTGATTTATTCAATCACTCACTCACTAACCTGTTCAACATCTCCATTTAATTTAGGTTTTTTCAATTTTGAATCTTGTTCAGTTTGCTGTCCAGGACGTTTACGATTTTCCCTTAACATATAGATACAGAAAAATATGTAATACAAATGAAAATATATACAATATTGGTATTAGAAACACCACACCGCGTTATGAGGTGAATAAAAAGTGGTAAACTTAGTGAATCAACTAATACTTGAATTACATAGTTGGTTGATCGAATCCAATTAAACTCAGCTGCATGTGATGTAAGTCGCTCTCTATCTTCCGTAATTTAAATGTCATTAAGAAAAGTATTGTCTATACATTAGAATACTGAGAACACTGAAGCTTGCATGAATAATAATTTGGCAAAACAGTTTTTTACGTACATTCCTGTCTTTCTAATAATAATTAATGTGAGCGGTTCGTAAAGGTTATTGAGTTTCAGAGTCTACAACGTTAACTGACTTAATTTAGATGACCATTGGAAAGCAGCAAGAACTGGACATCCACTTCTTTACAGTGCAAAACTCCTCAGCGGTACGCAAATATCAACCAAATGGAGATCGAACACAGGACTTTGTGACGAGCACTTCATTTTTAAGACCACTGGGTTAGTATGCAATGACTTACATTTTTAACTTTAGTCAATTGACAATAGGGCCTAACTACCTTCCAGTGCTATTTGTGGGTAACTGTCTTACACCCGATGTGGTCATTGTTTCCCATTAGAACTCCGGAAATCAGCTCTCGAACTTAACCATTAGTGGGTACAAAATACTGATACTGAATAGTTATTGCTGCGATTTTACATCCTGACCCAGTGGTTTTCTTTTCAAATGGTTTGAAAACATATGCTTTCCTACAGACTACACATTTTATTGTATTGTCACCTTGACGTAGTGGTTAATTTTCACTATTTTGATGTCCCAAATAAGCCGGAATAACTAGGATAGTCATGTCAACTGGAAAGCAATATGACTAAAAGTAGTGTTTCAAGTAAGAGATTAAGATTTTACTCGTAATTTTGCAGAGTAAGAGGCAAAAAATCAAAGAACGATACACAAAGTATCATATATTTTGCCATACTGATTTTCCGCTGAGATGTCAAGGTTTCAGAAAGTAAGGAATGATACCATGAAACCAACAACAATTACAAAAAAGTCATAAGTAACTGATGTCAAGAGATCTTCCCATGAGCGCGCCCTCCAGTAACGCTAGTACATGGGTAAGATTATTAAAAGGCATCAAATTTCAGTCCACCAAATTTTACTACCAGTATTACAGTTCATTCAACTCATCTTGAATTCATCTACCTATATACACTTAAATTCACAAATGATAAAACTCAATTTGAGTCAGAAAATAGATTTCATTAAACATTATTAAAATACACGTTATATTTTTATGCTACCTGGACACATGGCAATCGATCTGTCTAAACACTTTTTAATTGTACATATGACACATCAGACGTACAAGAGTGTAGTGTTTTTTCGAGGGGGACGCATTTGTTTATCAAGTGATTTCATAAGGACAGAAAAGGGTTACAAACACCACTTTTTATATATACATAAGCCCCGTCGGGGAATAAATGAAATAATTTACTAACAAGCAGAAATATGGTAAAAATTATGTCAAGTTGGTAAGATTATATACAACAATGTGAATATTAAAAACACAATCATAAAGAGATAATTAGCATTATAGGTGTATATAAATAGCATACTTTGAGTTTTCACGAAATGCCAAAACAACTGCATCCTGATCGACAGTCGACAATTTACGAAAACCTATCAGTCTAGAATGGATGTAAACGAGAGCAACACAATCAACGGAAAATATATGCGATTTCGACCACAATATTTTACGTAAAACGAAATTAGCGAAACATAAAAGTGAAGTAGAAAAACTAAGAGGAAACAGCAAAATACTTTATTGGTTAAGTCAGTATTTTTATCTATTTAATACACACAATGAATAGTATGCACTACATCATATTTGTGTGCGAACTGAGAAACTCCTCAGGCGTTTAAACTGAAACAGGCGGACTATTTGAGAGACCACACCAAGGGCATCTGACCTAAGAATTTAATCCACAAGGAAGTAGAACAACGTCTGGAGACGATATTACATAGTAGCCAGTAACGAAAATGGTTACATACGCCATTCATTCTCTAAAGATACTAGAGCTATACACAATATTGCTTTGAAATCAGAGTTTTCCAACTCCCCAAGGTGAGTCGTACGCACGCACCAGCCCGGTTTCACGACCGTAGCTGCTACCTTGACGTGGTGGTCAGGCTTGCCTATCGTGATGACCCAACCGAGTTATATTGGCTGAAACATATGTTTCTCTGTAGGTTCTATCATGCCAGGCAGGTCGATTGGAGAACGGTAAGACTTAAAGCAGCAACTCAAGGTCTGAGGGCGAAGTCGTACTGCTGACTGTAGAGGGGTGTGACAGCAGTAAGGTGTTTCCCTCGGACAACCAGCATCTGCAGCGATGCTGCCCTCTCACAAGGAAGGAAGGGGTTAGAAAAGGTCGACCCTAAAAATGTCACACCTCACCTTACCTCACGGATCTCCGCCTCCGTCGGTAAGGCCCTTTGAAGAACGAAGCTGACACATTAAAAACCCCCCACAAAAAGACCGTGAGCGACCGGCCTCAAGTAGTTGTCCAGGTCGCTAAGACCAACACTAATCCGACTTCTTTTTCAGGTTCCTCAAGAAATACCCTTCCACGGTGTGGGCAGCCGGGAAGTGATATCAGCCCTCATACCCGTAACAACACACGAGGCCAAGTTGGTCACATTCAAATCCTTCCTACACCTCCTAATACCTCTCTTATCTCCACGACTAACCCTTCTCACGTCCCTTTATCACCTCGCACCGCTAGGGCAAACGATTCGAGTACGCGGAACGTTATTCCTGGTCTCCTGAAACCATGTTCTAAACTACACGTAGGATCTTTCAACGTCCGAACACTGTGCCAAATAGGACAACAACCTTCCTTAGCTAGGAATTTAGAATCTCGCACCATCGATGTGTGCTGCGTCTCCGAAACGCGCACACAGGATCCGAGTAGTGTCATTCAGTTGACCTCGCTGTCAAAGTAACGAACCAACTCGATTTACGCTTCATGTATCTGGAAGCCCTGATGCTGCCTCTCGTGACCTCACTGGCGTAGGTATAGCATTGAGTCCTATGGCTGAACTAGCTCTCTTAGACTGGATTCCAGTAGACAGTCGTTTGTGCGCTGTCCGACTGAACGGAACAATAAGGACTCGGAAAGATAGGGACACTCGTCGTTGCCTCTTCGTCGTCTCTGCCTACTCTCCCACTGACTGCAGTTCAGATGATGTAAAAGATGAGTTTTACAAAAAGCTTTCCGATCTCCGAAAAGCTAGGCGCTCGGATGTAGTAATAGTGGCCGGTGACTTTAATGCTCAAGCAGGTAAACTAAGCGAAAGGGAAAGACACCTGGATGGATCTTATGGTGTCGCGGCTCAAAGGACAAATAATGGCGGCCGTCTGTTGCAGCTATGCTCAGATAACCGCCTGTTCCTTGCAAATACTAACTTTAAGCATAAGGAAAAACATCTTTTAACATGGCGACCCCCTAATTCGTCCCAACGTTGGACCCAAATAGATCACATCGCTATCAGCCACCGATGGAGGGGCTCGATAGAAGACTGTCACTTATTCTGGAGCACATGCTTAGATTCAGATCATGCCCTAGTGTGAGCGCGTATTTGCCTGCGTCTTACTGGACGTAGGAAAGATGATGCAAGGAAACCTCTTAGGGTCCTACTTAATGATAGTCAAGCTAAGAGTATATTTCAGGAACAACTAGAAAAACAGTTAGGCAGCCTTGTATGTGATGCCCACCCCGAGGCAGCATGGAATGATATCCGAAAAGCTGTGGAAACGGCAGTGATACCTGCTTGTAAGGTAAACCAGAAGGTTAGAGAGAAACACTGGATCTCAGCAGCATCTATCGCACTGATAGATGCTCGGAAACTCATTCCACCTGACTCTGAACATAATGAAGAGCGGAGTCAGCTTAAGCGCAAGCTGACAAGAAGCCTACGCAATGATCGCGAACAGTGGTGGGTAACGAAAGCAAGAGATATGGAAAAGGCAGCGGCAATAGGTAATAGCAGACAATTGTCCAGACTTGATAAAGAAACCGGTATTAGGAACCCGACAGTTAGCGAAACACTCTCAGAGAAAGATGGACATATTATTCATTCTCAATCCAGGAAATTGGATCGATGGGCAGAACACTTTAGGGATCAGTTCAACTGGCCTTCAGCCACACTTCGGTTTCCCATGATCTCCATTCAACCTGAATGGCAAGGTAATGTAGGTTCTCCAACTCTTTACGAAGTTGAAAAGCCATGGGAAATCTGAAGCGAGGGAGAGCAGCAGGCCCTGACAGGTTTACTCCTGAGTTTCAAGGATGGCGGTCCAGTATTAGCAGTGAGATTAACTGAGGTCTAAGGTAGAATCTGGGAACTGGACGTAATCCCATCTGACTGGTCTCAATCACTGATGGTGCCAGTCAATAAGAAAGGACAAAAGTCCTCTTGTGACAATCACAGAGGAATCAGTTTGACTAATATAGTGTCTAAAATATTAGCTTCAATAATACTTCGATGCCTAACCAAAGCTCGTGAAGAACAGACTAGAGAAAATCAGGCTGGTTTTCGACCTGGACGTGGTTGTATAGACCAGATATTCACACTACGTCAGGTCCTAGAACACAGACACACGTTCAGACGCCCCACAATGGTAGTATTTCTCGACCTCAAGGCGGCATTCGACTCTGTTGATAGTGAGGTTCTATGGCAGTGTTTGTCACTGAAAGGAGTACCAAAGAAGTACATTAACCTTATAAAGGCTCTCTAATCGAACACAACTGGTAGAGTGAGAGCTTATGGCGAACTGTCATCAGAATTGATTACCTCAAGTGGTGCCCGTCAGGGCTGTCCACTCTCTCCATTCTTGTTTAACTTGGTCGTCGACGTGCTTTTAGAGATGACGCTTTCCTCATCTGACTTTCCAGGGGTTGAACTTCTACCAGGAGATTTACTTGTTGACTTGGAATATGCCGATGACATAGTTCTATTTGGTGAAGACGCTGACAAAATGCAGTCTTCTGACCACTCTAAGCAACAATGCAAACATGTTCGGCATGCGAGTCTCCCCCTCGAAATGCAAAACTTTGCTTCAGGATTGGGTTGCATCAGCGCCCGAACTAATGATAGGGAGTGAAGTAATTGAGTGTGTCGACCGCTTCATTTATCTTGGAAGTCTCATCAGCCCTTGTGGTCTGGTGTATGACGAAATCTCAGCACGGATACAGAAGGCTCGACTAGCTTTTGCCAACCTGCGTCACTTATGGAGTAGGCAAGATATCCGTTTACCAACCAAAGGACGTGTTTACTGCGCAGCAATCCGTTCTGTCGTACTTTGCAGCAGTGAAACGTGGCCGGTAAGAGTAGAGGATATTCCTAGGCTACTAGTATTCGATCATAGATGTCTTCGAAACATTGCTCGTATATCATGGGACCATCGAGTAAGTAACACAGTTGTTAGGAAACGGGTACTAAGTAAGGATGGCAAATCAATTGATGACGTAGTGAAACTTCAGCAGTTGAGATGGCTGGGACACGTGTTACGTATGCCCAACCACTGACTGCCTCGATGTGCTATGTTTTGTTGTATAGGAGTAGATTGGAAGAAAGCTAGAGGCGGCCACACCAAAACATGGCACAAATCGATGAAGTCACTGACAAGTGGACTGAGTCATGTTGGTAGGTGTAGGCTACCTGGTTGGGGATCGCGAGATGATATCAACCGATGGTTAGAGACCCTGAATTACATACCTCAAAATCGTTTGCAATGGCGCAGATGCATCCACTCTTTGTGTTCTCCCAAATTCTAATCTTCTGAATTCTTTATGTCCCTTTTCTTTTGTCTTTCCAAATTTATTTCACTGGATTATACTCCTTAAATAACATCTTCAAACCCTAATTTTTCTGATTACTGCTTATAATTTTCCAACCCCTACCACTACGGGATTTGAATCGACAACTGCATCTCTGTGGTAATGTGGTGTGGCAACTCGAACTGATGTACGTACGTACGAAGTTCTACGTTGTTACTGACTGACTGACTGACGCTGCATGAGGGGCAAATCAAATGACTGATTCACAGTTGTGCTTGTTTATTTTCGTATGATGTACCAAACAACACGAAGCGTTTATAAACAACCAACCAAAAATATTTTTACTCGTCATTATTTGCATTAAGAAACTCACTCCAACTGTCATAATTCGATTCTCTTTAACTGATATGTTCTATTTAACAAACAGCATACCAAATCTCTTACAAATTATTCTATAATGCGAAGACGACAACTCGTTTCAACCAGTTTAACAGGTGAATTTGTACACTTTATACACTATATCAATCATTATAGTGTGGATAAACTCTAATCGTAGCTGTAACCTTGATGTGGTTATCGGGCTTAAAAATCGTAACGACCCAACCAAGCTACATTGGCTGGAACACGTGTTACTTTACGTCCGACCATCCCAAGCATATAGATTGGAGAGCAGTAAAATGAAACTCATAGTCTGAAGGCAACGTCTTACTTCTTATCATAGAGAGGTGTGACGACATCACTCTTTACCCCAGACAGTCAACATCTAAAGCTATCTTACCTTCCCACAACGGAAGGAGGCATCAGGAACGTCAACTGTGGAAACAAAACACACTACCTTGCCTCACGGATTCCCAAAATAGACAAACATCCTTGAAAAGTATGGAGCTAGCACCTCTAAAACTACTCACTAAAAGGTCGTGTTTGACCAGCTCCAATCAATTATTGCTTAAGTAATTGCAATCACGCTTCCAAGTCACTAACGTCACTAAAAACCCGATTTCCGTATCAGGTCCCTCCAAAGGAGTATCTTTTTATGATATGGAGAACCTGGAAGTGATAACTGCCCTCATGCCCTTAGAGGTGCTCGAGAACACCTCGTTTACCATTGTAGGATTTTAAGATTGATACAATCAAGAAACAGTAGTTTGATTGTTAGCTAAAAGACCTTTGGTAAATTCTTTAAACACAAGGAGACGAACAGTTGATTGACGGAGAATAAATTTATGCAAAACTATTCTTCTAAAACACGGAAAATAACAAATATCTATAAAAAACGCGAACCAATTACTTGACACACAATAATGTAACGATTTATTATTTGCCAAGATATTTGACATTCAGGAATTATAAAGCCGAGAAACCACATAGTACATGTACGCTACATATCGGCCTCTGTCTACAACATTCGTGAAACACAGAGTCTGAGTGTAGCCAAATTAGTTAATGTAAGCCATCATCACTACTGCAAGGCGGAATATCAAGCCAAGCAGCTCGGCTCAGGCTAACTAAACGAATAATATAATCTGTTACACAACCGTACCTTGCTACATGTTAAAACATCCGAATCACTGGTTAGGTATCAACTATGCCAACTAGTGTCTTATCACAGAAACTAAGTTTAATGAAAAATCTATAAATGTACATTTTAACTACCATTATCATTACGTAAGATGAAAGAAGTCAAGGACACCGAGTGTGAAGCAAACATTATTAAAGCAGACTATCTTGTATTGTGGAGTGGCTGATATTTACATGAAAAAAATTATGCAAGGCATTTTGTAAGTTGGTATCGCAGCCTGAAAATGAATTCACTGAAATCTATATTCACTCGAACATAAAAAATATAGATACTTTGAAAGTAGGATAAAAAACTGTTAATCACTTACTGTGAAATATCCTCTGGACACTCATTACTTTTAAGAAAACAGGATAGGTGACACATGAATGTTGGCTTTTTCCCAGATTCACATACTGTATGACGTTCCTGTGGAATTTGAATTGTCATTAAAGTTTCTTAGAACATATACACTGATTACAGAGTTCGAGTAAATTTTAAATCTATATTTAATTGCCAATTAAACTTCCCGATTATGTTGAATTAGACCATACAGTTATAGAGATGATTTTTATCGAATACTTTTTTTTGGGAGGTATAGATCAATAATAACAATGGAGAAGTAAAGTGGATGTTGATAAACTGGATTTTCATCGGCTAGAACGATTGGGATGTAGTACGTATGCCCAACTACCGACTATCTTTACATGCAATGATGGATTATTTGTGTATATGTTGGGAGAAAGGTAGAAGTGATCAAACCAATGTGTATGACTAATTGATTCGATTCATGCTAGTGAGATAAACCTACCTCGTGGATGTGCGCATGTAAACTGTAACCAGTAGTTGAAGATATACAGTAATTTATTCATTTATTTATTTATTTGAACACATAGATATTGGTAGATATTGGAGGCACCAAACATACGCGCTACATAAATTACTCGATTTATATAGGGGCTGGGATACTGTCCGGGTGCCCAGACCAAAACAAGTGATTTTCTCAGGGACCACACCTGGAACATTCGACCTTAAGGTTTGGTCCACAAGGCAGTGGAGAAACGTAAGGAGATGCAGTCCCATGATAGCCGGTAAAAAATAATTAGTCCATACACCATTTGTTCTCTCAGGATGCTGGACCCCATTTACACCACTGGTTTGGAATCAGGGTTTTCCAACTCCCCTAGGCGGACTCTCCGTGTCCACCGACCCGGTTAAAGCGCCGGACATATGCTTTTCGTTCTCTCATTTCCGTAAACAACACCACCGCCACGAGAAGGTAGTGAGTAGGACTTCCCTGACAGAGACTATATACGCGTGGCCATGTGATAGCATTTCGAGAGGGAGAGCGGACTCTCCCCAATCTCGGCCGTACCAGGACATTTGGGGGCTCGGTAGTACTTGGAACTCGTTTCTGTAATCATACTGACTTTTATGGCGAAAAGTAAAGCATATGAGGACAACTGGTTTTGACTAGCTGATATGACGACTTTAGTCAGTTGAGGAGCTGGATGCACCATTAGGATAATCAGACCGTTCGCTTTTCACGAAAACAACTTTCAATTTAGGATTGTAGTTTTCCTCAATAAACTGATTCACCAGGTAATTGGGTATATTCCACACCGTAAGAATATTGCCCGGTCGCGATAACCGAAGTAGGTGGAAGGGGATTAGAACCTGGGACTTGGTGGCCTACAGTTGGAAACCTCAAACACCAAACTTTCACTGCAGTAAGTGAGGAGCCATGTATAGAAATAAATGGAAAGAATATGGGCAGATGATCACTGATGTCACTTTAACAGTGAAAACGACAGATTCACACTTTCGAGTGCTGGTGTGGTTTTAACAAGATGAACGGGTTGATAGAATTGTGAGAACTTATACCAGAGATTCCATCTCGTAAGCAGCACTTATCAGCAGTCTGTTTATCATTTCAACAAATCTCAAACTTTCCCATGATAAACCCTGAGACGACTCCGTTACCAATTGAGTAAGTAAATAAATTTTGACGGCAATAATACCCGTTCATAGTTTTCCTATATTCTTGTTGCCCAAAACAGTATCATAGGGAAGTACGAGAGGACGTTAGACAAGCAAGATTTCATCTTCAGATTATACTTATTGTACACATTGAGTCACCCATAAATGTGACTATTGCTGTCACAAACACAATTCAGTATTTACCTGGTCGATCCCGATTACCAAAACAGAGACAAGCTAAACATAGTAAACAAAGAAAAAGCGGTAACAGTTAAAACATTCCGAGAAAAAGTCAGAAAAAGTTGAGTCTTCTAAAAGTTCTACTTGATTACATGAACACTACGTGTACAGTAACCCAAAAAATAATCGACAATGAAGCCTGAAAATTAGACTTGTGAGTCCATATAACAAGTACTCCTAAATGGACGAAAGCAACAAATCCTTCTGAAGCGACTTCAGTTTCTTGGAAACAGGCCTTTTACTAAATAAATAAATCGTCTTGCAACTGGCAGAAAACGACACAAAAATAACAAACTAATAAAGACGTTCTCCAAACATTACACACAAATTAAATACTCACATGCTTTAGTGGTTTCTGGCAATGAGTACACGATAAATCCCCATCTGATAACTTCACAGTGAATTTACGGGTTTTGGTTGGCTTTAAAGAACCGATTTCACTATTGATTGCAGATCTAATTTTTTCTTGATCTTCCCAACGAATGGAATCGAAATGTTTAATCTCAGCAGTACTCTCAACATGCGCTTTTGATTTCCAGAAACAATCGTAATGAAACCATCTGGGGATTTTCCCGTCGAAATTTGGTGCTTGTACCAACATGGCGATACGCAGAGAATTTTGGTCGATTTCAACTCTGCATTTATTGCACTTAGATCTGTTACTTTTGGCATAATCCACATCGAATTTATACTCTACTTGCATAGTGAAAACTTATTGAACACGCCTGGAATTTAAATGTTTGAAGATACTTTTCCGGGATAGATCTGCTTTTGAAAGACAAAATAAGAGTAAGAGCAGACAAATTTTGACCAAAAATATAACTATTACAACTTAGTAGTTACGTTGTCACTCCATACCATAAAAAGATACTCCTTTGGAGGGACCTGATACGGAAATCGGGTTTTTAGTGACGTTAGTGACTTGGAAGCGTGATTGCAATTACTTAAGCAATAATTGATTGGAGCTGGTCAAACACGACCTTTTAGTGAGTAGTTTTAGAGGTGCTAGCTCCATACTTTTCAAGGATGTTTGTCTATTTTGGGAATCCGTGAGGCAAGGTAGTGTGTTTTGTTTCCACAGTTGACGTTCCTGATGCCTCCTTCCGTTGTGGGAAGGTAAGATAGCTTTAGATGTTGACTGTCTGGGGTAAAGAGTGATGTCGTCACACCTCTCTATGATAAGAAGTAAGACGTTGCCTTCAGACTATGAGTTTCATTTTACTGCTCTCCAATCTATATGCTTGGGATGGTCGGACGTAAAGTAACACGTGTTCCAGCCAATGTAGCTTGGTTGGGTCGTTACGATTTTTAAGCCCGATAACCACATCAAGGTTACAGCTACGATTAGAGTTTATCCACACTATAATGATTGATATAGTGTATAAAGTGTACAAATTCACCTGTTAAACTGGTTGAAACGAGTTGTCGTCTTCGCATTATAGAATAATTTGTAAGAGATTTGGTATGCTGTTTGTTAAATAGAACATATCAGTTAAAGGGAATCGAATTATGACAGTTGGAGTGAGTTTCTTAATGCAAATAATGACGAATAAAAATATTTTTGGTTGGTTGTTTATAAACGCTTCGTGTTGTTTGGTACATCATACGAAAATAAGCAAGCACAACTGTGAATCAGTCATTTGATTTGCTCCTCATGCAGCGTCAGTCAATCAGTCAGTAACAACGTAGAACTTCGTACGTACGTACATCAGTTCGAGTTGCCACACCACATTACCACAGAGATGCAGTTGTCGATTCAAATCCCGTAGTGGTAGGGGTTGGAAAATTATAAGCAGTAATCAGAAAAATTAGGGTTTGAAGATGTTATTTAAGGAGTATAATCCAGTGAAATAAATTTGGAAAGACAAAAGAAAAGGGACATAAAGAATTCAGAAGATTAGAATTTGGGAGAACACAAAGAGTGGATGCATCTGCGCCATTGCAAACGATTTTGAGGTATGTAATTCAGGATCTCTAACCATCGGTTGATATCATCTCGCGATCCCCAACCAGGTAGTCTACACCTACCAACATGACTCAGTCCACTTGTCAGTGACTTCATGGACTTGTGCCATGTTTTGGTGTGGCCGCCTCTAGCTTTCTTCCAATCTACTCCTATACAACAAAACATAGCACATCGAGGCAGTCGGTGGTTGGGCATACGTAACACGTGTCCCAGCCATCTCAACTGCTGAAGTTTCACTACGTCATCAATTGATTTGCCATCCTTACTTAGTACCTGTTTCCTAACAACTGCATTACTTACTCGATGGTTACAGGATGTACGAGCAATGTTTCGAAGACATCTATGATCGAATACTAGTAGCCTAGGAATATCCTCTACTCTTACCGGCCACGTTTCACTGCTGCAAAGTACGACAGAACGGATTGCTGCGCAGTAAACACGTCTTTTGGCTGGTAAACGGATATCTTGCCTACTCCATAAGTGACGCAGGTTGGCAAAAGCTAGTCGAGCCTTCTGTATCCGTGCTGAGATTTCGTCATACACCAGACCACAAGGGCTGATGAGACTTCCAAGATAAATGAAGCGGTCGACACACTCAATTACTTCACTCCCTATCATTAGTTCGGGCGCTGATGCAACCCAATCCTGAAGCAAAATTCTACATTTCGAGGGGGAGACTCGCATGCCGAACATGCTTGCATTGTTGCTTAGAGTGGTCAGAAGACTGCATTTTGTCAGCGTCTTCACCAAATAGAACTATGTCATCGGCATATTCCAAGTCAACAAGTGAATCTCCTGGTAGAAGTTCAACCCCTGGAAAGTCAGATGAGGAAAGCGTCATCTCTAAAAGCACGTCGACGACCAAGTTAAACAAGAATGGAGAGAGTGGACAGCCCTGACGAGCACCACTTGAGGTAATCAATTCTGATGACAGTTCGCCATAAGCTCTCACTCTACCAGTTGTGTTCGATTAGAGAGCCTTTACAAGGTTAATGTACTTCTTTGGTACTCCTTTCAGTGACAAACACTGCCATAGAACCTCACTATCAACAGAGTCGAATGCCGCCTTAAGGTCGAGAAATACTACCATTGTGGGGCGTCTGAATGTGTGTCTGTGTTCTAGGACCTGACGTAGTGTGAATATCTGGTCTATACAACCACGTCCAGGTCGAAAACCAGCCTGATTTTCTCTAGTCTGTTCTTCACGAGCTTTAGTTAGGCATCGAAGTATTATTGAAGCTAATATTTTATACACTATATTAGTCAAACTGATTCCTCTGTGATTGTCACAGAGATGCAGTTGTCGATTCAAATCCCGTGGTGGTAGGGGTTGGAAAATTATAAGCAGTAATCAGAAAAATTAGGGTTTGAAGATGTTATTTAAGGAGTATAGTCCAGTGAGATATATTTGGAAAGAGAAAAAGGGTCACTCGATTTTGACTGTCTGAGGTAAAGTGATGTCACCTTTTTGTATATTATGGAGTGAATGTTTGCCCTTCAGATGATGAGATCTAGGTTACCACCAACTCATGCGCTTTTGTATATTTAGAAAATATTCAAGAAAATAATTACTAAAAAAGACATCTACAGGAACCATTGTGGCGTCTACAATACCTTTTTTCTTGTCTGTACTTTGTAGAAACAAAAGTTATGGGAGTTGGAACCAAGTACCAAATGTATTATGTTCGAAAGAAATTCATAAGAGCAAAACTAGTTATTAGATAGACATAAATGACAGTTAATCACTGTTAAAGAACTCATACATTATTCTTTGGACATTCACAGGCCAAATGGATATAGGACAAGCATGCAATGCATTGTTGCATATTTTGTGCCGACAACTTAATATAGTAACCAAGAAATTGGTAGTGACGTTTATTACCAAATAACAGACCGCTGAATGATAAAGACTACTTAGACTTAACTCTAAGTGTGATTTGACAGAGCTGACTAAGCACCCCATGAACTACTGACCGGCTACGGATGCAGTTACGACACCACAGATGAACCTTAATATGTAATGTCTCGGTTGGTCTTAACTCACTTATGAGTAGAACCCAGTTAACATTCAGATAACTAATATTGTGAGTGCTCTAGGTAAATCCTAACAAAGATTTCCATTGTAATACATTACGGGTTATTATTATGCCAAGTAGTGACAGTGACTATGAACTGTCCTGAAAAAAACGACGATATAAAATTCAGAGTAGCTATAAAACTATCAACCAAGACGCATTTTGTTTTTCCTTATTAATCCAAATATACAGATTAATAGTCCAATACAAGTCAGGAATTACCCATATCTTAAACACTTGACTACATTTCCACTTTATAGTCGTTGGACAGTTTGAATTTTGTTTTGACTACAGAAACAGGACTATAGAATATTTCGAAGAACGAATCCGCGAACAAACTCATCATTACATATGTAGCTATAGCTACACTATTGTGAGCAAGTAATGACCATTAAATTAACAACAATCACATCCCAAAGTAATAAGTGACCATGATAAGAACCTCCGATAGTTCATATTTTACCTCTAAACTAAATACCAACCAATATGATAATTGGTAAATTACTTGATCGTGAATGCAAGATTCTTAAGGCATTCGAATTGACTGACAGAAACCAGAGCGATGGACTTAAAATGAGGTCCTTAATGGGGAATATGAAGTAAGAAAAACCGGAAACATAGTAGCCATAACGAAGTACGACACTGCAGGATAACTTACTACCGCATTCAAATTTCAAATCAGTGACCACGTTAACAATTGAAAACGTCCTACCAGTGACCTTCAAAATCACTGAGGCATTAGCAATGTACTTTAGGATTTTTAAGTCATTAACTGGTAAAAAAAGGATGCTTTTTACATATTGTTGGCTAGAAATCAAGTAGTTGACAAAACTGCATAAGAGACACTGATTTCCAGGACATATTAACTGAATGATTACCTGACTCATGTTTAAGCCATCTTCCGGACTTCTGTATCCACTCTTTTGACTACGTCACTAGACGTAACTGCAAATTCAAAATAACTGTTCATCTTTAACTATAGTCTGTGTGTAACAGAATGGACTGAGAAAATCCGATACAATTTTATGGATCGTCGTAACCTTGTGTTCTGTATGTGAGCTTAGTTGTCTTTGTAAAACCGGAGTAAAATGTTCTAATATCTCAGATTCAGGCTCAGATATGTTTATTAGTAAGGACAGAAGGCCTACAGCCTATGTTATTCCTTATATAGTATACTTCTGTGTCTAGTCGGCGAGACTAATTTATGGACGAACCAATCAGAAGCGTTTGAGGGATTTCAAGGTCACGGCGCTACTTCAGTACATCGAAGATGCTAAAGGTACTCGGAGTTTGACAACGCTTTAACCCGTAACACCTAATATGAATCTTACCCACCAAGTGAAATCAAAAGACAGAAGCGAGAAGGTTCGAAGATATATTTGATAGGCTATCAATATATCGAGGATCGTCTGATCAAATCTGGCCAGCGATTGCAGGTGTTGTTGGGCACGGCGTTCCCACTCGTGATCTGGTGCCGATGGATGACCGAGCGCCTTCAGCTAGGCGAGTTCATTAAAACTAATTTGGTCAGCATCCAATGCTGAAAACTTACAGAGCTATTTATTTTGGGGATTTATTTACCGCTACAACATAGTGCTAACGTTCACAGGGGATTTCATGCAAAACGTGATAATTGGGCAGCTGTAACCAATAAAATGGCGAGACTATAATTTGTGGAAGAAACAATCAGATATAAGATAACAGATTTCGGATTTTGGCACGAAAGTCTTTCATCCATTTGGTTAAATAGAGTTTTGACATATACCATAAGCTATAATATTATAGCTGATGTCAGTTCGTGGTGAAACCCCCGTACATAATTCCTAACTATGGCAAATTATGACAGTTATTGCGAACTGAATAATAAAAGCACTCGTAACACTGGCTGCAGCCAGGTACTACAATACATACGGATAATTGCAGAGCGTACAGACTCATGCGTAGACTTGGTCATGTGCATCGTGTTGTTATCCACAAGTGGCATTTTGTGCACTCAACAGCTGGAGTGCCCACAAACAATATTGGAGCTATGTGGTCGAGGCTGAAATAGCTTTTGTGACCTTATCATGGTTCCAGAGACCGACTATTCTGTAGCCATATGGATGATTTCCTCTACTGCACGGATTACGATTTTAGAACTTCTGAACCTCTTTTTTACTTTGACAGGTTTTTGAACCATGTATAATAAATGTATCCACTTTATTTCTTTGGTTTTGTGTAATACATTTTTACTCTATGGTGACTGTTTGCTGACTGGCTAATATTTCTCAAGGTCATACAGATTCGTTCCAAGGCCGTCCGTAAATTATAGTCTCGCCTACTCCGTGTTAAAACCTAAATGCCACAGGTGTTTTGTTCGTTCTTGGCTTTTGTATTCCCCATCTCTATCCTTCGAGATGTTCCGACCTAGTTATAATAAAAAAGAGAGGATATATTGGGTTCAAAATCACTTCTTAGTATTCTATGCATTAAAAACGGATTACTTCTTAAGCTGCGATAGGACAGAGAAATGTGGTCAACCTTTTAAGCCGCACTTTGTATGGTAAACCCCGGAGTTCTGGAAATGTACGGGTAGCCGCCCTCTGTACCTTTTCCAGGATATCTGAGTCACTTTTTAAAGAGGGGCTTGCATTCCGAAAGCAGTTCTCAAACTTAGTTCTCACTAAGGTTGTGCATACTGCGATGAACCTGGTAGTATCTAACTTGGCGAGTGTTTGTCTTATAGCCCATAGGGTTCTAAACCCTTTAGATGCAGCTTCCCGGTCTAAATATCATGACTCACTGTCATCCCCTGATCACTGTGAGACCAGATCACGGGTACAGACACTTCCCCTACGCTGTGCTTATTTACCCAATGTTCATACAGACACAGTTTGCAGCGTTGATGGGCATCAGCCACTCTTCAGAACAGTTAACCACACTATTTAAGTGTGCATGAATTGTGCAGGCATCTGCGTCCCCTATTGATTTACCGCCAGATTTATACATCACCACCGTGCAATAACACTTGGGACTCAATTATACTTGAGAAGTGATATAAAAAGTAAAGAACCTGGCACAGAATCTTGTGGTACTGTGGTGTTTGAATAAACTAATGAATCTTTTGTACTTCTCGAATGCTTGATTTCGAATTTCAAATACAAAACATTTGTTGGTTCAATTGCGTTATTTCTGGGATTCTTAGTTTATATTATAATTCGAGCACTCTTAATTATCACAGTTACTCCAATAAATACTTGTTCCCAGGTGAGTTCTTCAATTTACTCCTACATTCTGTCTACAACCTACTAGGGAATCCTTAAGTCATTTTAAAAGAAGTCCGGCAATACCAAGATTTTCTATATAAAAATGAAGTGTTTTATCCACATTGTGAATTCATATTTTTGCACAAACATGAGGATGAATACTCAGAAATATGTTTCGTCTAGGGTAAACCGACATCCGAATATGTTTTTATGCATTCGTTTCCGATTAAATACTGCGATTTCTTCGCGACGGTATACCATAGTGTAATTTTTATTGTTACATTTTAGGACAGCTACTTGTATGATGATCGTAGTTTTAAGTTTTCACGTTTAGTAACCGATATGCATTGTATAGATTTGACAAGATTTACCAAGTATTTTGACGTGTGCATAATTATCTGTCTCATCTACAAACTGCTTGATAAGATATCAACATAGACGTCTAATATGTATCTTATTTGCGAATGAAGTGGTGAAGACCATACTAAACAAGTAATAAAAACGATGTTAAACGGATATTTATTTGTAAAAGCTGTAAGATCCATTTTGAAGGTTTTATGTGTTGGTGAAAATCCCTCCATGTATATACTTGTACTTTATTCCTATTGATCGCATTAGTTGTACATTGTTGTATTTTGATTACATTTGAATTGTTAATATTTGTATTTTTGTTATAGTTTTTGTTTTTATTACGCATTCACTAAGTTTGTGTTTCTTCCTGAACTGCATCTGCGTTGTTTTACTTGACACTTGTTCTTGGCGGTAGCTATATTGATTTGTTCCTCCCGTTGTGTGTGATCTATCCAGCCAGGATAGAATAACGTTGATTTGTTGTGATTGATTTAATTGATTGAACAATCATTGGTTGAATAGCCGGGTGATAATATTTGTTTAGAACCGCTAGTTACCCGATTACTTGTTTTGATTTCGACAGGAAAGGGCGCGTGTCTAAAATCCCCGGTCGGCTATTCTTCAACATCCAAACCGTAGTTTGGATCCTACAGTTCTAAACAAGTATTACTTGGCCGAAATCCTTTGGTAATCGTTCACGGATTTTCTGGAAATAATTGGTCGTTTCGCTTATAATGCCAGTTAATCGTCGAAGGAGATCAGGCTCAAAGTTCGTCGATGTTAACGAAGAATCCCCTATTGTCAAGCAAGTGCCTTTTGACGTCCTTAAGGGTCATGGTTCAGACTTAAATAGGGTTAATTATCATGGCAGTGATTCCAGCCTTAATTCGATGTCAGATAATGCAAAAAATCTTAGTTTAAAGGAGGAGCAAAGGCCTGAATTACTAGGAAATAGCATGTCGCCTATAGTCCATGTTGTTGGCCCAGAGCTACCAAAGGTTGAACTGAGTTATTTCTATGGAGAGCCAAGAGGTTATTGGAAATTTATAAGGCAATTTGAGACGTATGTAGCGTCAAGAGTCACGGATGATAGCCAGCGCTTACTCTATTTGATACACTACTGTAAGGGCAAGGCTAAAACAGCTATTGAAGATTGCGTCATGATGGAGGCATCCTCTGGCTATAAAAGAGCAAGGGAGATTTTAAAACGTTTTTTCGGACAGCCTCACGTAATTGCTCGAGAAACACTAGAGGACTTATTCAGTGCTGTGAATTTTGAGTATATTGACGGGGACCAACTATCAAATTTGGCTATTAAGATGGAAAACTGTGCCATGGTCTTGGAGCAGATGAATTATATTTCTGATCTAAATTCCTTAGTTACGTTGGAAAGAATAGTGAGACTCTCGCCTCAACCTATGCAAGCCCAGTGGGCGGACTGGGTGGATAAATTGACTGAAGATAACAGGGAACCGACCTTCGACGAGCTCACTCAGTTTATCGCATCGTGTGCGAGAGTGGCTTGTAGTAGATTTGGACGGTTAGCAAACCGTTCTAGAAAAGGAAATAACGTAAAGACGAACTGTCACGTGCAGTCAGAGCAAGGGAATAGTTCGACAATGAAAACTAAATGCAGTATGTGTTCGTATGACCATGCCATTGATAAATGTCCACAGTTCTTAGCGCTTACAGTTCAAGACCGATGGTCTCACGCTAAAAGCAAGGGTATATGTTTCGTCTGTCTTAGACAAGGACATAAGGTTAATGAATGTAAGATGACAAGGCTCTGTAAGGTTGACAGTTGCGAGAGGAGACATCACGCTCTGCTGCAAACTGACTCGACAAGCAACGTCGTAAATGATAAGCCATCATGCCCGGAATATAGGAGAAGAGTTGTTAATCATACCAGTAAGATACAAACATTAGAGAACGAAATACGTAAGCCTTATGAAGTAGAGTTTTCAGATGCTTATTCAAGTGATAAATCATTATCAGTAGACGACAAGGTGGCTATAAAGATTGTGGAAGGTGACACGCGCTTCGGCAACGGTCATTTTGTAGTTTCTATACCTTGGAAAAAGAGTCCA